GAAGTGAACACCCTGCCTCTATCTGATGGCACCCTGAGGATGAAGGACTTAAGTGAAGACCACATCAGTCTGGGACAGTGGAGGATTTCAGACTGCACGCAGTAGAAAAAAGCTCATCAGCTTTGGGTTTCTGGCTGAGTTATTCCAGAGAAATTTAATTCTTCTTCCCGTATCCCTTTTGTGATTTGAGGTTGACAGAGCATCCTTCTTTCCTCATGAGAAATACCTGAGCAGCTTATTACCATGCCACCTTCTATCCTAGCTATAGTTATATTTTTTGTATATTATACATGTAAACCCCTCAGGAAACTGTGAAAAGTTCTGCAGACCTCAGTGAAAGTAAACTGGCTTCTCAGCGAGACAGAAATGAGGTGTGCTGAGGAAAGAACACCTCCAAAGGAAAATTCAGAGATTTGTTCTCTGAGTCATGTGCTAAATTCCTTTGTAGCTTCAAGGTCTTGGTGGCCAACAGAGACTACGTTATTCTTAGGAAGAGACTAGAAAACACGACTGAAAGTGCTAAAAATGCCATTGTGTACATAGCATCACTCCCTGACCTCAAAGAGTTTGAATCTCCAGCCCTCAGAAAATGTGTAACATAAAGAAAAAAGATCTAGAGCAGAAACATGGAAACATTTCCACATAGAAAAGACTTAGAAAGGAGATCTCTGATGTAGATCGTTGACAAATAAAATACGAGAAGGATATAAATCTATGTCAGGAACATGGTGATCTCTAATGTCCTCATCATCCCAGAATGAGGGACTTTCACCTCTTTCTGAAGCACATGCCTAGTTTGAAATATGCAAGCTGTTCTTGTAAAGTCTTCATGGGAATCCCTTGGATTACCTATAACGTTTCAATTTGGGCATCTTCCTCAGGATGTCACTGAGTCAATGCCCCAGTATGAAGAACAGCCAGCAGATAGGACTGCCCCATTCACTGCAGTAGGTCTCCATGGGCAGCGAAGCAGCAATTGTGATTTCCAGTCCCAGACGAGCAACTGACTCATCCTGTCTTTGTTCTTGGAGTCTCAATTTCTTCATACCAGAGACTGTTCTTCCTTCAGATTAATTCAATTTCTATGGCATTGGCTCCAGCCCGTGTACCCTGGGGGTGACTCTCTCAGCCTTTCCCTGAAGAGCATTTTAGACCAATGAGACCCCACAATTATCCCCATCATGAAAATAAGGAACATTTCCACAGAGAAAATGGGGATTTGTATTCAGAAAAGCCTGATACCTGCTGCAGAAACTACACAAAAATTATTCGTGATTAGATTTCATATATGCAAGCTTCCTTTAAAATTCCAGTTTCGTAAATGCTCTGACATCTAAAAAAAAAAAAAAAAAAAGTGAAACATTTACGTTAAAACCAGAATTCGTGGAAATCTGTTTCTTCTGTTAGTTGCAAAGGAAAGAAGAAAATAGTCCACATTGGTAATTCTTTTGTCTACAATACAGCACAAAGGGCTTGAGGTCCTCTACAGTCTTGTCAAGTACTTCTTATTGTTATTCACATGGTGAAAACAACTTTTGTTTTTGCTTATATGTGGTGCAGGAGAATATTTATGGAATGAATCAGATGAAGAAGTCCGGAAGAACTCATTCTTATCTACACTGATGTTCATCCCACCAACTTCAGCCACTTGTAAATTAGGTGCCTAAACTAAGTGGCTGTCTAGATTATTCAGTTAATGAAGAAAGGTAGGCATTTCCAAACAAGAAAAGCCTCTACCTCTGGGACAGGCTGGGAGAAATATTCCTCAGAGATACAAAACTTTCTCCATTGCCTAAACTGGGATCTATCCAGAATCCTGTGGAAAATCCTTAAATACTATACAGCTTTAAATTCGATGAGTTCAACCCCACCTGGAGACTGGCCTCCTGTGTAACATTAACCGTAACATTCAGTGATTGAATTTCTCCATTTTATTCTATTTCTCTAACCTTCTGGGTTGTTCCCTCTTTGGTAGAGCTATGCCAGACCCCTATGGGACAGCAGAGTGATTTTGCTGTTCCCTAATGTGACATTTTCCCCCTTAGAGCTTATCACTGTGTTTGCAGATTTTGTTTCATGCCACCTCAACATCAATCTTCTTTCTATGTCTGTCCCTTTTGCTCTTGGTGTAAGTTCTGGGGACTTTCCCACCCTGTGTCACTTCATCTGGTCACAAAGCCACAATCCCACCACAGCTTTGTTTGCCAAGTGTGTTGCATAAGGTTCAGCCTTGTGGGTTTCCTCTGGAGCAAGGAGACAACAAAGATCCTCTGTGGGAGCAGAAAAAACAGCCTGCTCTCTCAGGGTGCCCTAGAAGGGGGCTTTGGCCTCTTTATTTTCAGGTGATTACAGAGTTTAATCTTAAATGGGATTATAGAACAGGAGGAAATGCTCAGAAATGGCTGAAAGTACTAAAAAGGAGATCATTTTAGTACTAACTTCCCAGTAACAACCAAGATATGCCTGGGGATACTGCCAGCAGTATCTTCCAACTGGCACTCCAGTAACATGGGCATGTCATGTTTCCCACCATCTAACACCTAAACTCCCCAGTGTGTCCTCTGACCATTCTTCCTGTACCTCTGACAATCCCTGCAGTGACTCTGCAGGGCAGTGCCATGTCCAGTAAGCTTATTAATTTGTGTTGTGCTCCACACCTACCATTGAGCAAGAGGCTCTGGATTACAAGTAGATTGCAGGACACTGGACACATCTAGTCTGGTGGGAGCATAATGCCAAGAAGGTAGTGAGGCTGTCACTACCCAGCCCAGTGAATTTCTTGCTCATAAACTCATCCAGTCTCCTCTGGAAGCTCTTCTCCACCCATGACATCCTCTAGCCATGCATCTGGTGACCCAGCGCCATACAGCCTACACCAGGAAAGCAGGCTTTAGTGCACACACCTTGCACATGAGGAACCAAGGGAGGGCATTTAGCTGTCATGGTTAGTGTGGAAACTTCCTGTCCTTCCTGTTCAGCTGTAGCTGAACCCAGGACACTTCCCCTAGTGTGTTTAAGCAATGTCGTTTCATGTGCCAGCAGCTGTGTCTAAACATCTTGACCTAACATCAGGTAACATTTCTCCCCTCATTCTGTTAATGACAACCGAAAGGGAAGTACTCGGTATTCTCTATGAACACTCATGGCATACAGTTACAGGAAGGGCATTCTTAGGGTCTGTGGCCCGGCCAGGTAAGGTTCAGCTTAAGTCAGCTGCCAAGAAGCTAGAGGATTGTATAAGGACATGATTGCAGCTGAGCTGCATCTGACCACATGTACATCTGGTCCTGCAGCCTAGTAAAACTAAGAACAGGATAAGTATATATGCTGTTTTCCCCATGTCTACATAAACATGTTTAGTCTCTGCATGTTTATTAATCCCCAGTGAATCTTATCTTCTCGAACTCATTCAGTCTCCAAGGGAAGCTTTTCTCCACCATGACATCCTCTGGCCATGTGTCTGAGAGTTCAACTACACACTGCAGGAGGAACTGTCTCCTTGGGCTGCTTCTGACTGAGCCCCCCAGCTGCATTTAGTGCCCACCCCACGGATGCTCACCTCAGACCCTGTGCATCTTCACTGGCAGCTCCAGATTCCCCTGCACTGGTACTGCTAACGTATGGCAGCTGTGACCAATGAGCAGAGACCTTTGCAGTGAACACCTCACAACACCTCATCCTGCTTCTGCTCAGCAAAAGTAAGGAGGAAGGAAGAAAGCTTCCTTCAGGGTTTCCTAAATCAAAGTGTGTGAATAGCTGAGGTTGGGGAGGAAGTTGTCCCTTGCCAACACACACACACAGGCACAATCGTTTCTTCCATAATTCCTCGGGGCAACTGAGTTTCTAGTTGAGCCCACTGCTGAGTCATTGAGGTATAAATTCAACCAGTATGAAAACCTTCCTCCTTGACAGCAATCCAATAAAGCACAAATTAGCAGAAGAGATGAAGGAAAAAAAAAACAAAACAAAACAAAAAAAAAACCACAAAACCACTAGGAACGTATTAGGGCTGACAGCCCGGTAGAAGGTCCTACAGGAGGTATCTCAGCACCTTCTCCTACAACAGCCAGCCCTGGTAAAATCTGCGCCATCCCTTTCCTGGCACTCCACAACAACAAACCCAAACAGATTGATGCTTGCTCCTGAGAGATGCCAAGCAACCCTCCACTCCTACTTAAATCAGAAGATTGCAGAGAGCCCTTCACCTGGCAGGATGAAGTCTTTTGGGTGTTGAAGGGAACAGCCTGCTTTATGGCTTAAGATGAATGACAGCCATCTGAGGCCTTGTCCCATGCTGTGATGGGTGGCAGGGCTGCTGTCTGAGCTGCTCTGGCCAAGTTTTACAATGGTGCCATTATCCACCAGACATCTGGCAGGCGTAGCTTCTATTTTTCCTGCCCTGTATTGGCAGTTGTTAGGTGGAAAGGCAGGTTGGCAGGGGAAGACTGGATATTTGACATCTCCTCCCTTCTCCCCTTTGCTAACATTCCTTTGGCTTGTAAGTCTGACAAAACAGCAGCAAGAGAAGATTGTTGTAAGTTATTTGCAAGGACACAGGGTCACATGTTTTTCATCCATTCCTTTTAAGACTTCAGTGGCAACATACAAGCACCTTTCCCAAGACCCAGCAAGGAAAGGCCTGTTTGGTAAAGCAACAGAGGAAACTTGAGGTTTATTTTGTTGTTTGTAAGAATAAACACCCTCCAAAATATCCTTGAGAGTTGCTGATATTCTTGGTTATTAAAAAACCTCTCATGAGTGTCAAGGGCAATGCAGTAGATGTAAAGCAGAGGGGGGACAAACGTCTTCGACACATTGTCAAAGGTTTCACATTTAGGCTGCCAACAGGGGCTGAGCTGCTCCACAGGCTTGTTTCCTTGAAGGAAGGAGTGCACCCTCCCCAAATATGGCCTGATTGCCTCAGCTGATGATGCTGTTATTCATTAAGACCCAAAGTGGGGATTGAGTCCCATTGTTCTCGGCACTGTGCTAACAGAATGAGGACAAGATGATCTCTGGTAACCAAACCCAGTAGGAGAGGGGATCCCTCACACCAAGCCTCTCTGCTGGGTGGTCTGCACTCTTCTGGGGGCACTGGGCTTGAATGGCCAGCATTTCTCTGAGCTGATGAGTACTAAAAGCAGAGGCAAAAAGAAAAGCAAGCAGGCAGAGGAGCTGCCCAAGGCGGTCACAATCACCAGGGAGCAGTGCTCCTCTCCAAACAGGCTCAGTGGCTTCTGCCAAGGGCAGACTCATCGATAAGCTTGTCCAAAGGCAGTGTGTCTCACTCCCTGAGTTTAACATGATGCCTTTTGGTCTCTGCAATTCCCCTAGTGCCTCTCAGAGGCGCATGGATTTGATTCTGGCAGCTGTTCAGTAGGCCACATGTTCGGCCGATCTGGATGATGCAATTGTTTTTGGGAGGACTTTCCAGGAACATTAAAATCGCCTGGAGGATGCTTGTAGCTGGCTGGAGCAGGCTGGTCTGAGAGCCGAAACCCATCCAACTGTGACTAGTCATGGTCCCAGGTGCAGCCCGCTCCTCATATCATGTCTTCAGCAGGGTGTGCCTCCACCTCCAGTCAGGACAGACACCCTCGGCACAAGCCCACCCCGGCAATGGCAGCTGAAAGGACAACCAGATCCCTCTGCACAAGGTGTGGGAGTCCTGGCTTTTCTCTGTTATCTGGTAGAAGACAAGGAAGGGGAGGGAGACATGAAAGCACAGCCTGGATCTGAATTCCCAGTCTGAAGGTAGGCTTGTAGCAGCACTTTTCAGCTCACATGCAGCGCTTGTGCGGATTGCAGTGCTGGTCCTGTTACCTGTCCACGTTGCTTTCCTCCTCCAGCAGGGCTCAGCTTTTGGACCTAGGAAAAGAAGCTGGGCTGTGTCCCTGCTGCAGCCATTTTGGAGAGGTGGCAGAGAGCTGCACACCCCAGCAGTCACAGGAGCCCAGAGGGGGGAAATAAAAGGATTTTTCTGAGTGAGCTGGTGATGAGGAACATCAAGTTAAGCTCTTTGGAGTGAGGTACAGTGCTCTTTTCCAGCGGAAGGATCTTGAGCTTTGGCCTAAGATGCTATCATGAGTAATGGTCAGGTGTCACGCTGGCTGCAGTGACCAGAGGCACTGAACCCCCTGGTCTGGCAGGAGCACACTCCGATCACAGACTGCTCCTTGCAGGGGGTGAGTAAAGTAGGTAACAAGACAGAGATTTTCCACTGTCATGCTTGGCTGATAACATGCCAGAAATAGGTGTCCATGTTAGGATCGTTTTTCTGTCCTCAGGAAAAAAAAAAAAAAAAAAGCAGACAGCACTATGCCAGTTTCTGTAGATATTATGGAAAGGCAAATTTTAAAAAACTTACTTTTGACTAAGCAGATTTAAAATGACCAGCAAGTGAAGGATTACTAAGTGGGGGCACCAGAGTAAAATGGGCACAGTCCTTCTCCTGATTGCCTGCTCCTTCATCCCTGAGTCGGTCCTTCTTTTGTGAGTCCTCTCATCCAGTTCCCTCCCTCCCAGAATCCACTATGGACCTGTCCAACCTCACAGGAGGGACAGACAAAATTTTAGGTAGAGAAATACTGAGCTCACACCTTTTGCAGGAGTCTCTTGTAATACAAATCTCACACAAAGACCCCAAATGTCCTTGGAGCCCCATCACATTTCTTCTTTATTTGTAATGGGCTTCAGCAAAACTCATTGTCCATCAAATCCATGTGTCCAAGATCATGTAGTAGGAATCCTGGAAAGTGTGTGAAAGAGATTGCATTTTGCTGTTGGATGTCTTGGCTAAAATGCAAATTAGCTGTCACACTCCAGTAAATTACGTGGTACTAAGCTTTACTATGCTTCCTTCTTTTCCCTTGTGTTACAAACAAACATGCTGGAAGGACAGCCTCTCCTACACATCTAGGGATGCTGATAGCTCAGTCAGGCAGCAAGATTTGGCTGGGCTTTTCTGTTTATAATAGCTTACAAATCTTGCAACTTAAAATCTACAAGCCATATGTACATGCTGCTAAATTATTCTGCTCCACATGGTGGGGGAACCCACCAAGCCTAAGCACAGCACAGAAACCCAACAGAAAAATGGACATCAGATAGGGTATGAAAAACGCACTGACAGTCTGGGGGGAGTTTGCCCCTGTACAGCTAGAAATCTGTTTGAAATTGACTACAGTAGGAGCCATGGCCCATTTCTTCACACGTCTTTGCTAAAGAGATGTCAACTCTCATCTTTCTGTGTTATCATGTGCTGGTTTTGGCACCACCAAAATCCAGGTGCACTTCACAACTCAAGCACTAGGCTTTCTCTAATGGGCTGCCACAGCTGCTCCCAAGAGTGCCTGCTTCTTTCACTGAGACCTTCTGATGGCTGGAAATACTGTTTTATTTCTAGCAATTACAGAAAGAGAAAATTAATTACTCGTCACAAGTCTGGGTTACAATAAAGCAACTGATGTTGGGTCTCTTGAGACAATTAATACAGCTCAGCTTGGAGAACATGACTGTGAGAGCTAACAGGCAGCTGGAAGAGTGCAAACAGCCGAGTAAAATGGCAAAGTCAGCAGTTACAACCTTTTCCTGGCTGGTTGCGTATCTCAGACTAAAGAGAGGTGACAACCTTTGGTCACTGTATGGGCTTTAATCACAAATGGTGCTCTCAGCAAGATACCCCAACCTCCCACAGCTTTGCATACTCTACTGCAGTCCCATAAAGCACCCCGTTGAATCTCAGGCGACTAAACACGGACTGCCTGCCAGCACCTCAGCTGCATAAAGTAGATGTATCAAAACTCAGCAGTCTTTCTGTGCATAAGAGGACATCTGTTCCTAGGTTCAGCCACCTCTACAGTTTGATCCAGCCCTTGAAAAAAATATGTGAGTGTGGTATTCTCACTCAGGCCTGAGCATGACCTCAGGTGGGAGGAGATCTGATTGCTGGAAGGAAGACTTGGGACCCAGCACCAAAATCAGTGTGGATGCAGATGGCTGCAATAGGCCAAAACTCCAGCCAGAAGTATCGAAGTCTGGGGTTGTCTCATGCAATCACCCAGCACCTGATGGAGGAAATCATCATTTTCTAAAGCTGCTGCTCCCTGTTTCTCTGTCTAAGTGTGGTGCTTGCTGAAGAGCTCTGCTTTGCACCACTGGGGTCAAAAGCCTGACAGATAATGTAAGGCAGAAACATAACACACTGTACAACTTTCTACCAGGCACATCTGGATGAAGTGTAAACTTTACCTTCTCGTCAATGTAATAGTATGCATTTATTTCTCCCTCTGGGAAAAGCAAAAACAGTTCAAATCTGTGCAACAACAACAAAAACCAAAACAAACTATGATTAGCGATGTGGAAATGCTACAGGAGGAGACCCTGCAAAAATGTGGATTGGTTTAGATAAATAGAATCATAGAATGGTTTGGGTTTGAAAGGACCTTAAGATCATCTAGTTCCAACACCCCTGCCATGGGCAGGGACACCTCACACTAGACCATGGTGCCCAAGGCTCTGTCCAACCTGGCCTTGAACACTGCCAGGGATGGAGCATTTACCACTTCTTTGGGCAACCTGTTCCAGTGCTTCACCACCCTCACAGTAAAGAACTTCCTCCTTATATTTAACCTGAACTTCCCCTGTTTATGTTTAAATCCATTAACCCTTGTCCTGTCACTACAGTCCCTGATGAAGAGTCCCTCTCCAGCATCGTTGTAGCTGTGCCTGGGATTGCCCCAACCCAGGTGCAAGACCTTGCACTTGGCATTGTTGAACTTCACGAGTTTGGCATTGGCCCACCTCTCAGGTGTATCAAGGTCACTCTGGATGGCATCCCTTCCCTCCAGCAAATCAACCACACAGCTTGGTGCTGTCAGCAAACTTGTTGAGGGTGCACTCAATCGCACTGTCTATGTCATTGACAAAGATGTTGAACAGGATCAGTCCCAACACCAACCCCGGAGGGACACCACTCATTACCAGTCTCCAACTGGATACTGAGCCGTTGACCACCACTCTTTGCATGCGGCCATCCAGCCAGCTCTTTATCCGCTGAGTGGTCCATCCAGCAACTTTATGTCTCTTCAGTTTAGAGACAAGGATGTTGTGCAGGACAGTGTCAAACGCTTTGCACAAGTCCAGGTAGATGACATCAACTGCTCTGCCCCTGTCCATCAGTTCTGTAGCCAGATCACAGAAGGCCACCAAACTGGTCAGGCAGGATTTCCCCTTAGTGAAGCCATGCTGGCTGTCACCAAGCACCTTGTTGATTTTCATGTGCCTTAGCATGCCTTCCAGGAGAATCTGCTCCAAGATTTTGCCAGGCACAGAGGTGAGACTGACTGGTCTGTAATTCCCCGGGTCATCCATTTTCCCCTTCTTGAAAATGGGGGTTATATTTCCCTTTTCCAGTCGTCGGGAACTTCACCTGACTGCCATGGTTTTTCAAATATGATGGTCTGCGGCTTCGCAACTTCATTCACCAGCTCCTTCAGGACCCGTGGATGGATTTCATCAGGACCCATGGACTTGTGTATGTTCAGGTTCTTAAGATGGTCTCGAACCAGATCCTCTCCTACAGTGGGCGCAAGGTCTTCATTCTCACAGTCCCTACGTCTGCCTTCCAAGACTTGGGTGGTGCGGTCAGAACATTTTCCAGTGAAGAGTGAGGCAAAGAAGCCATTGAGAACCTCAGCCTTCTCCAAATCCAGGGTAGCCGGTTCTCCTGATAGCTTCCAGAGAGGGCCCACATTATCCTTAGTCTGTCTTTTGTTAGCAACATACCTATAGAAGCCTTTCCTTTAACATTCCTGGCCAGACTCAACTGGGCCTTAGCTTTCTTGACCTGATACCTAGCTTCCCAGGCAATGTCCCTGTATTTCTCTCAGGCCTCGCTTTCACCTTCTATAAGCTTTTTTTTTCCTTCTAAGTTTTCTCAGCCTCTGAGCCTCTAAGTTTTGGGTTGTTTTCAGAGGCCTCCTGGCCTTCTTGTCAAAATGCAACACTCCTGAGCTTGGAGCAGATGATCCTTAATATCAACCAGCATTCCTCAGCCCCCTCCCCTCTAGAGCTTTATCCCATGGAACTTACTGAGCAGGTTCCTGAAGAGGCGAAAGCCTGCTCTCTGGAAGTTCAGGACAGCGAGCTTTCTGTGTGCCCTTCTCACTGCCCTAAAGATCTCAAATTCCACCATCTCATGATCACTGCAGCCAAGGCTGCCCTGGAGCATCATATTCCCTACCAGCCCCTCACAGTTGGTGAGCATGAGGATAAAGAAGAAGAAATACCCAACTCTGTCCAGAACAGAAGCCAAAGCTTTTTGAAAACCCTTCAACAAGGTTTTCCTTTCCCCAGGGGAAGGAAAAGAGAAGCAATGATCTGCACAACTGCATATAATGGAGATCAACCCCACCTGCTCCATCCTGGACATAACCCTGAGAGCTACTGTCTTCTATAGTTTGAATGGACTTCCCATTTCCAGTGTCCCATCCTGGTCACCATATAACAAATTTGACAGCTTCTCCAGTTCTCAGCTGAGCAAATATCCTGTTCACAATCATAATCACGCCAATACATATCATAAATTTCCCCACTGCCTCCTTCCCTACCACCCTTCCTGCTTTGCCTAACATGATGTTACCTATGCAGGATTCATCACCCTCATCCTGCCATAAGCATCCCAAAAGATTTTCCTGTTGTCCTGCCATCGCAGGAGGTTTCACATGAAGCTGACACCAGGCTCTCCTCTCCTCACTTGGTCCACATCCAGTGGATTATGTATAAGCACAGATGGCTCTGCTAATTGGGAATTGTTCCTTTTTATCATGTCACTGGGGCTTGTCCTGGGCAGGGGCTGCCTGATATCTTTCTCTTTGATTTCGGAGGGTTTTGTGAGAAGTTACCAGGCAGAACTGAAGGGCTGGTGGATGAGGCTTTGATAAATGCCTTGATCTGTATGGCCTGCTGGGCAGTCTGTAGCTGTGCAGTCAAACACACCAGTGGCTTGTCAAGGATCGTACCCTATCTGCACCAGGCAGCAGGGTTATGCAGGATGTACAGAAATGTAACCCAACAAGTCTCTAATCCCCAGGACAAGGATGAAAGTGGATTTAGACTAGGGATGGCTATGTTTCTCCTACCAACTCACCCCCTCTGTCAAGTCCCTGAGAACCAGTGATGAATAAACTCAGCATGTGCCACAGGCCAGCATGTAATGAGCTGGTTTTTATCACCCGCTTCTCAGAGCTATGTAAAATCTATGCACTGTTCTGCTCTGCTGCACTTTGCTTGGAGTGGTACACGGAAAAATTTCAGCTCAGAGTAGTTTATAGCCTCCCTATAGGCACTTTTCCATCCTATAGGCACTTTTCCATCACTGCCTGCCCATGGCTGTAAAGCATGGACCAGGACAGTGCACGCAGATAAGTGACTTCTGGTTGTCTTTGAATGGCCTTTTCACACCACTATAACTCCTGCTTTCCTGCTCTGCTTCTTTCCCTCTCTCCTTCCTAACTGAGTTTAGACTCTCTGGTTAAGGCAGCTGAGACCACAGTGACAGAGCAAACAGTGGGCAAAAGGAAAAGCTATGGTGCATCACCCAGATGGACAAAAAGAAAAGTGTGGACACTGGAGATGTCGCAGAAGAAAAGCTTGCTTGGAAGAGTGGGGAGAGCAAAGAAAGTTAGACAGTGCCCCAAAAGCCATCAATGTCCTAGTGATACCACAAGGGAGCCGGGAGGACAAGGAGAAGATTTTGAGGCAACAGTGAGGTCCAGCTCTGCAGGACAATCAGCTACAGCAGTCCCCCTATGTGTGTCAAACTCATAGCAAGGAACAGGCTTCCCAAACTCCTCAGCATATCTGGCCATGCCCCATAACGTAGCATAGCTCAACCCACCACTTCTGTTCCCCTTGTGGACACAATCTGAAGGCGGGTCATGGGAGGCCTGAGCTGATGCTGTGATTATTTCCTACATTAGCCTATAAGAGGAAAATAGCCCTCAGCTAGGACATCCAAAATCTAGTAAAAAATGCCTTAAACTGACTTCTGACAGTATTCCCCAGACCTCACATTTCAGTTACATGTATTCATAAAAACTTATAGTGGCAGGGGCAATTCTTATGCAGATGAGGCTACTGGTGAGCATTTCCCAATATGCCACACCTTTGGCAAAGGAATAAACTGTTTAGTTGCAAAATATCATGCAGGTATTCCTTAGATGGCCATGACCAAACACCCACCAACTTGGAATGAGCAAGACAAGCAAACAGACCTTCAGCTCTGCTGTCAAGAAGCATCTCAGCAAGGGAACACCCCCTTGCCCTTCCCATGAGCATCCAGGCATCATGAGCATCCCTAGTCTGCAGAAATCTTCATCAAGGACATGACCTCATTGTTTCAGCGGCTGTAAAAATGCAGCTAAAGAATGGTCTCCGACCCCACAGAGCTCATAATCATGTGTAAAATGCTGGATGGGGAACACAGTTTGATTGAAAGGCAGTGTAAAGGAATAATAAGATAATACTGTAATATATTCTTGGCCTGTCTCCTTTTCCTCAGTGTGTTACTCTCTTGACCCTGATGATGTGATGTCTCATTTACAATTCTGTAAATGCAGGCCATATATACTTTGCAACTAAGAGATCAGGCACTATACTTTGCAGTCTGCCTAGCACAACTTGGCTAAGCTTGGCTCATAACCAAATTCGCTTCCCTCCTCCATGCTGCGGTAGCCACCTCCACAATCCTTACTGGGAACAGCCCTGGGACATGCTATTCCCCAGACCAAGCCTAGGAAACACAGCCAAGAGCCAGCCAACTAAAACAAAATGTTTATTATGCCCAGTGTATAAAGCTAAGAAGTTGAGACTAAGACTTGACTAAGGCCATGGGTAAAGTCAATGTCAGAGACTAGGCTTTCTTTCCCAAGGGTCAGACAAGGATAGAAAGAGAATCATTTTTTCAGGTTAGGATTAGCCCTTACTGCATATCTGTGGCTTTTTTTAACACGTCATTCAGAATTAGTTGTCACCTAAGGCTCAACTTCATAAGAGTGTGCAGGCACATATATCCTAATCTCCTGTGCTGTGTGCACTTGTGGGTCCTGTCGAGGTGTGGTGTGTATTGGCTGCACATGTAAAGAACCACTGCCACATAGAGTGAAGCCTTTTCAGCAAACATAAATGTTTTTTCTCAATCAGTACATGGTTGGTGCTGCATATAGTGCCCTGGCAAAAATGACCTGCAGCAATCTATTGCACTGTTTAGCAGAGGGTGCTTGAGGACCATCAAGTTAGCTCCAGCTGAGATCTAGATGTTCAGACACAGCTTCTGATCCTGCACTCACTACCAAACTGGAGAGCAGTTGTTATCAAATCTTCACCAGTGGTGCCTTCAGCCATTTTTAAGTTATGGCTTGAAGTTAATACACTGGAGGTGTTTATCTCCAGCATCATGTCTTGTAGCATAAGGAACTTGTATCTGGGAGTCCTGGATATGTTAGGCTTCCTGTGAATCACTACTTCTTCCAATTAGGAGGCAGCATTTGTCACACTTCCATTAAGCAATTGTAATTAGCAACTTTAAACTACAAGATCACATTGCCTAGACGTGAGACTTTACTGTGTATGGCTGCAATGGCAGCAATGTTACACTGTCTTCTTGCACTTCTGTCCTTCCTCTCTGCTGCTGTGGAGCATCTGCAGTGAGAGAGCAGGGTTTTTGGGGGTTATATAAAGTGAGTGGGGAAAAGTGAGACGAGAACTGCAGATTTGACCTTGAACACTAGGAGAAAGCATAACACACAGTCTGTATAAAGTTTCCTCTATAATAATAATAACAACAATACTAATAAAAAAATAATAAACCTTTTTGTTTCTCTACCAGAGAAGACTATAAAAATCTGCTCCTGCATAGCTGCAGTGGATTTCACAGCCAAAGCAAGGTCATTCAGAAACTGTTGCCAGGCCAAGTTTTCACTTTGAACATTTTCACAGTTAAAGGAGGATCCAAAACATGTAAGAAAACACAGCCTCAGACTTTCCGCTTTAAACTCCTTCTTGCTTGAACTATAAGGTGAAGGGAGGAGGAGGGGGGTGGCTGGAGTGGATGGGCTTGGGTGATTTGTTTATCCAGAAATTCTTTGCATCTCCTCTTTTGAGTGATGTTCCCATTGCTTTTTTTTCTTTTTTACTCCATTTTCCAGCTGTGTAGCACAAAGCACAGGCAGGTCAACAGCCTTGTTGAACATCACAGAGTGAGTCAGTGGCTCTGGAGAGATCAGAGCCAGGACCCCACTGTGTGCCAGCTCTTTGTGCTTCCCTCTGGTTTCAAAATTCATTTCAACCCCAGGTGCTAAAACAAGGTGAAACAGGACAAATTCCAGACTGTGAATTTGGCAGAGGCTTACTAAGGACACAGTGACAATGCCATCAAAATGCTGTGACACCAGACACCACAAAGTGAACAGTGCTCAGTCATATTTATGCTTATAAGTATGGGCATTTCTGTGTCTCCATGACTTTGCAATAGCTTTTCAACCCACTGGTCCATTCCAACCCAATCTGACAGCACTGTTGGCTCCTCCAAAATGTAACATTTGTACAGTTTTCATGAAAACTGACAACAGATAAAAGAGAGAGCTGGAAATTAAGTACGCGCTATAGGAAAAGGTGACTAAGATGCAATCTTAGCCACCAGCAAATCCACCAAGAAAGGGGGAGACTGGACTTGCACAGGGAAGTTAAAGGTAACAGAGGCTCAAGCACCAGCATGTGACTGTGCTATGTAACTGGTAGAACACTCCTTGTCACAGCTGTCATAGCATCTTCTAAGCCTTAGGATAGGTATCACAGAGACAAGAGACATGCCCAGGCTTAAGATGGGTGACATCCTCCTCCTAAGTGGAAGGCAGAGAATGAAATCCCATAGATGTGATCTGTGCCATGCCACAGGATTTGGATCCTCCAGGCTGACATTGGGTGTTCCTTCTTTTTCTTGATTGAATAATTAACCTATTAAAAGTGATCTCTGCCTTTTCCCCCAAATTACTATTTCGTTGTGCTCATGTTAATCAAAGTTCTAGCCATAAGGTTTAATTCCTGAAATGGCTAAAAAAAAAAAAAAAAAAAAGAAAAACTCTTTAGCGAGCTGTTTTGGGGTATTTAGAAAAAAAAAACACCAACTCACTATTTTACCAGCAGTGGATCTTGATGTTATTGTAGGGTCACTCAAAAGTAATGGCTGGCAAGGGTGAAAGTAATTTGCAAGCCCTGAGCTACACTGATGAATTGTGGCCAAGTTGCATAGTGATAGTGGGTCTTTTATTGGGAGGTCACCAAAGGGTATGGGGCTGAACAGAATGGATCATTACCAGAGGGCTGCTGGTTAGCAGAAACTATAGAGCTGTTTATGAACAAGGGGTCAGCTGGTCTGAACAGGATATTCATGAAGACTGTGCTACAAAATGCTTCATTGTTGTGGTCATGCGTTCTGGGCTGCTAATATTCGTGGGTGCACTTGTGTGGGCATGTTCAGTTTATTTAGAAAATAAGGGCATTGAAGCACTTGTTTTCTGAGGGAGAGAAAAAAAAAAGCACTGAGTAAGAAATACACCAACTGTGCAAATACTGAAAAGAAAGAAAAGAGAATGTCTCACTTTCCTTTTTACAAGTTTTTAAATGACAAAGCAAAAGATGTAAAACACTGGGCAGAGCTGTGCTTGCCATTGCCTGGGGTCCCCAACACAGCAGAAGGCTGCTAAACCAATAATCTTCCTATCCTGACCTTGTAGCCTCCTAACAAATCCTTTCTACTTTAGCAGGATTTGTTTCAGAGAACTAGGCTGTGTAATCTGGTACTCTGGTAATGTCCTCATTTAACAGATTCAAGGCCAAATCCTGCTCATACCTCCACTGGCACAGTCCCATCACTTTTGGTGCAACTGCTGGAGCTGAGAGCAGACCGTGACGTTTTTCCCATTAATCTCATTCTCCCTTCCTATTGTGTTTCATTTTACGGTGCCCTGGAAACTGGAAAACCTGTATGTCTTCAGCCATTTGATGTACAGGAAATGTAGTCACTTAACTAATCTTTTCCCTGGGCAGTGGTGGGGATTTTTTGTTTGTTTTTTTTCTCTTTCTTTTTTTCATATCTGGCCTCACAATGCTTATGGAAACTGGTTATGGTAGAGGGGAAAAAGAATAGGGATGGTAACTTAGCAGCCACACACATCATGCTCAATTAAAACAGTTAAAGCTCCAGGAACAGAAGTCCCGAGTCCAAACTTTGTCTAAGGCTACTCTCCATCTACCCTTTCAGCTAAAAGAGCAGCCTTTCTGGCTCATTCACCAGCTGGAACGGATGCAGGCATGACTGAGCCTAAGACATCCCGTGCAGGCTGCAGCTGTACCAGGGTGACTGCAACCATCTGCCCCTGCCTGGTCCTGGAAGCTGAGTGGCTGTCAGCCAAAGGGCTCCGGAGCCTTCTGGAAAAGCAGCAGAGTCCAAGGCACAAAAGCCAGGCTGTTTTGGTGGAAGGACCAAAGGCGAGCCAGGCCCTGTGAGCACTGGAGCAGTCACCACTCAGGCAAGTGACACCAGAAAGGACAGGATTTCTCAACATTCACCAAAACTGGTAAGACATCTGGGAATATCTCAGATGCCCCACACCTATCTTTAACCATGAAAAAGCTTAACAACTACCTTCAACCAGACAACCAACTTTTTATGTGTAAAGAGTGGCAGTACGGAGTCTGCAAGTGTAGCTAGTTAGGCTGTACAGACTACTACACTGATTTGGAAGACTCAACTCAAAGTTGAACATGAGATGGTGATAGGACGAGATGAAGATCTTACAGGACTCGCACTGTGACCTCTCCAACATCTTGCACCACTGCACTTGAAATACGCTCAAATTTAGGAAGGTTTCAGTGGACATAAAGTACAAGGTCTGAAAACTTTGCCTTCTTTTTGAAAAGATGATATTTTGAGATGACAACAAGGTCTTCAAGGAAGAGATGGGAAATCGGGCAACATGCAATTCACAGGCTCGGAGACCTCAGAAAAGCATCAAGGATCTGGCAACAACTAGTGGTTTCAGGCAGAGCTAGACTGCAGAGAATAGCTACAGAAGCCAGTCACCTGGGAAAGCTGCTACACTGAAGTTTATATTGGATCAGGCTGTCCTGAGGGATTTCTGCAGGAAGATTGAAGAGGCTGCTGAAAACTCCGGAAAAAGAGTGCAAATGGGCCATAAAAATGAAGGCAAGTGGGAGACATGATTTTTTTTTTTTTTGGCCTAAATTTGTGCACAAGCTTTTGTTCACAGATGAAGTTCTTATCCTGAGGAAGAATCTATCACTCTGGTATATGAATGTCAGCAGAGCTGGCGTCAGTGCCAGGATGCTTGTTTACTGTGCTGCTTCCTAATGTGACATTTCAACACCAAGAAAGGGCTTCTTATGCTTTCTTATGCTGCTCAAGAGAATCCCTGCTCCTCTTTCTAACTCTCTTGTAAATTGCCTGCTCTTTATGGCACTATGTCTATTAAGTCTACCCTGTCAAGTTGGTACACATTTCTCTGAAGCACTTAACCCTCTGTTGCCCACCGGTTTAATCCCACGCTCCCACCTGAAATGTAAAAATTAACTGCCCTAGAGGAAGCCCAACGTTTTAATGCATCATTTACCTCAGACTTGCTCCAACACAGAGGGCTGGTGACCAAAGGTCCATGGATCGCAGCAGAACGTGAGACCCACATCTATGGAGAAGCTCTCCTAGAATTTCCTTCTGTAGGAGGGCTCGGCTTCCTTGTCCTGTTCCCTCCTCTTGCCAAGCAGCACACCACCAGTTGGCTGGTGGTTTCCCGAGACCATTGTGAGAAGTGCCTTCAAAGTCATGACGTCATGCGTGCCAGAGCATGCCTCCGGTCTGAGTTAGTTCCTGTCAGCCTTATGCGCAAGGGGAATACTGAATTAATTCCTGATGCCATTACATGCATCTCAACACGAAGATGACACCCACTGGCATGAGCATGTTGAGTCACTACATTTCCTTTCCCTAGGCTGCAAAAGCACAAGCATCGTAACTGTTTCCCAGCACAGACCCATAAGGCTGCTGGCTCCTGCCGAGAGACTGTGCTCCAATCTCCCAACAACTTTTGCTAGGAGTTAACACCACTGCAAGGCACAAGTTGGTCTGCCTTTCTGTCTCACCTTTTTTTTTTCCTGTGAAAGGAAAATAGGAGGAGTACAGAGAAAGCTATGCACCTGCCCCAGGTTGTGAAACTTGGTTTATATAAGGCTGTTGAGATTCCCCCCTCCAAAATAAAAAAAAAAAAAGGGAGGGAAGGAAGAAAAAAAAGAAATTATGGTTTGGACCAAGTTCAGGCCTTTGATGTGTGTTCTGAGTCTGGGAGCCCAAGAGACAGTTGCATGTTTAATGCCTCACTGTTTCTGTACTGGGCACAGACTGTTTTCCCTCACCATCTCCTGGATTACACCTGGTCTTATTTCAACTACCTTTTTTATGCCTATGCTTTAATACCACTTTTTTATTATTCCTTTTATTACTGAGTGAAACAATTATAGGTTTTATGGGCCATTCTCAACCCTACAGACCAGTGTGTCCCAGGGCTGTTCATCTGATGGTGGCAAGAACTTTTGCCGGGTCATCTGTGAGAGGTGCTCCAATCTGCTGGGAGGGCCGGCAGGGCAGAAGTGGAAGTCAGGATGCTTCCTAAATAAAATAAATTGAAAGGGAAAAGATGTATTTTTCACAGGGTGAAAATGCCTCCCCTCACCAAATGGGGTGAGGTAGCTAGGGTAGAAGACTGGTAGCAGGGCCTTGCAGCTCTTGCTTTATGTACTTCTGCTACTACTGCACAAGCAGAACAACAAGGGAGACCACCTCTGCAAGCCATTTGTCAAGAATGCCAGAGAGATCCATCCCTGGCTTATAAACAACACCCATGGCTCTCTTCTGTGATGACTATACCTGTCTATGTTAAGGAACCCGGCAACTGGAAAGCAGAGGGAGATGATAGAAAAGGGGAAGGCCCTCAGTCCTGGATGGACAGATAGGTAGTTACTGCCTCTAGGATCCAGGGGACAGGTAAATTGTAAGGGAAGCTGTAATATGCCATAAAACGAGTATCTCTTGTTGAGACTGTGATTTGTCACAGCCAGGATAGTTATGAATTTTAGTTCAAGAGTCAGAATTATTTTAGCTTACCCTTGGGGATCAGGATTCACAGGCTGGAGATGAATAAGAATGTTGTGTAAGGTTTGTATAAGAATGTTTCCCCACAAGTGGGTGTTTCTGCTCTTCATTGAGTGGTCTGTGTGATACACAGTTTAGAGAGGGCATCTGGCATAAAGCATAAAACGTATCACATTACAGGTGAGAATATGTGGGATCCAAAGTTTTTGATGGGTCTGAAGTGAGACAGCTTTGAAAATGCAGATAACTGGGTCAATGACAAAACGTGTTATTTTACTGCCTTTTGAGGTTTTGTTTCTGATGAGTATTTGGGTCCCCATACGTCTGGCTTAGGATAGGAAAGGGAGTTTCAAGAAGGAAATATCAAGCGCAGATGACAAGAGGAGATAATAACCTGGTCTGTGGTGCAAGGGAGAGACTTGTTGGGGATCTCAGCACTGTGGAAGACTGGGGAGAACGGTGGCCTCAGAAAGAGGTATCAGAAGAACAGGCTGGTTGGAGGACAGCCAGGTGCCTTTAGACATCTTTGCTCTCTTCCCTAATTCCTACACCCCTCTGGGAATGGTCTGACTCACAGGGGCTGCTCCAAATCGCCATGCTTATCCACTAGACCCATCTACACAAGCACATGTTCCTGGGATATCTGAATGAGACACAGCTCAGCCTGTAGCCAGGAGATGACATCCCTTAATTCTTCCTTGCCTTGAGTAACAGCTTTAGACAGCCAACCCCAGTCCTGCACCCCACCTCTGCCATGCTTCGAACTGGCAGGGGATTGGTTTAATGAAGCATGGCATTGAAATTCAGCCTCAGAGGAGGTGGAAAATTGGAAAGATAAAGCTAGGACCCATTTGTGGGAGCAAGCTCTGCCAACAAGGGGGGTGAAGCCAACCGCCCTCCCTGCATATGCATATTGTCCCCTTCATCCCACTGGGGACAGAGGTAGCCTAATAGCAGCTGTGAGTCAGAACAAGTCACAAAGGACACGTTCTAGAGGAAAAGCAAAGGTAAAAATGTACACATAGGCTCTCCTGCAAGATCTGATCCTCCTGCTTGTCAGCAGTGTAACCATCTGGAAAAGTGTAATTATTGTAAATGTAAATTAATAGTGATTTGGGAAGATTATAACTTTCTCTCTCTTCTTCTTCCCCCCTCCCCTCCAAACTTTCTGATTGTGCTTTTTTTGGCAACCCAAAAACAGTAATTTGATGCAAACTCTGGCCACAAATCCAATGGAGCTTGATACGCTTTAAATGAGGGGAGGGGGGATAGGCAGGGGTGATTGCTTTAATAACTGTTCTTGGAGAAAGGCCATTGATGTGTTTTCATTACTCGGAAGAAGAAGAAAGCCAGAAAGAAAACAAGTGGCAGGACAGCCGTTAGACAATAACTATGAATAATTATAGAGTAGGGGTAAGGGGAAGTCCAGGGAATTACTTCAGGGATATAATCATGAGCCCACATCCAGGCCAGTTACTGGTGGCTAAGAGGAGGATGTATTCAAGCAATGTTTGAGGGCCCCTCTGGTTTGGGTCTGTCTCCACCCAGACTTGCATGAGCCTGCGTCCCCATCACAGAACCCATGGTCCCCAGTGTCTCAGCATGACCCCAAAATGTTACACGCATTCTTGACCTTACAGCACTCTGCAGACCTTCAGGGATGAGGCTCTATGCATGTTTCTGGGATGGGATGGAGACAGGATATTTTCCTTCCACAATGGGGAAGCTGAGGGTCTAAGCTGCAGCCTGGATTAGACTGGTGAGAATCTTAATGGTCCTTTGAATGATGACTGCTCTACTACTCATTGTGGGTATTTAATGAAGGAGGCTGTACACAGGTATCCCACCAGCAGAAAACTGCAAGAACTGGAGGTGTGATAGCCAAAGGAAGGAGAAAAGAGAGTTTTCCCTAGTCAAAAGGGCTATAAATGGGAACAGCCAGTTCTTCCCTTCCCCAGACTCCACAGTAGTTTGGACGTCTCTGAGAACTTCTGCAGTACCTTAGCAGAAGGGACAGCCTGGTTTCTGAGCGCTCTTCAGAGTCAGGCTGCAGAGGTCACATCTTCTCATCTCTAGAAAGCCTCCAAACCACCCATACCCATTCCTGTCAACCGCGCAGCCAGACACTCACCTATGGGGCTCTCAAAAAAATTATACCCCCTTATCCTTTGAGGAGGGGTTTTGCCACATTCCTAGTGGTGATATTGATTCAGACAAGAACATTTCTAGACACACAGCAATGCAAAAGAAGATGAAAAACCCAAATCCATCTTGGCTCACACACAGAGCAGGAGGGAATCCAGAGTGGTTGAAAGATGAAAAAAGAAAAAATAAAATCAGCACGACCCAAGAGGTTATTTTCATGCCAACTCCTCAGGCGCTATGCAAAAGTTTAGGAATGAACGTGCACAGCAGGCTTAGAAGGAGGTGATGGTCACAGTCAGGAGTTATCTCCTCTAAGGAAAACACTACTTACTCTTTGTTAATGGGGCCAAGCAGCAGGTACGTGATCACAGAGGCAAAGGGCATCCCGCATCACGCCTAGCACACCCTGTAAGGGACATCTGGATTCCCAGTCAACTCCAAGCATATCTTCTACCCTAAATAATTATCCCAATGCTCACAGCAGAACCTGCAAAACCTTACAAAGGCAGAAAGGAGCGTCCTTCTGAGGACAACGCTTGTTCCAGGAGATGCCCCTCTCCAGCCATAGCAACATTCTGTTGTATTCCTGGGTCACCAATCACCATGACATCCATCTGCACAACAAGGTTTCTAAAGCTCCTTCATCTATGCCAGAGAGACACAGCAACCCCCTGAATTTTATTGTGCTACAAGGTAAACAACCAGACAATGCCTCCAGAAGACAGCAGACTGGAGCATCTGTTCAAGTTTCCGAGAGACCATATGAATTTATACTCTTCCTTTTATTTACACCATTTTGTCTTCTGGTTATTGATGATGTTTCTCATCTGTTTTTATTAGATGCAGGTGTTTTCTGCACTTCAGCTGGGAGCACTTTCCCTTTTTAGCCAATTCCAGATCTAATTTGTGTCTCAGTCACCTTTTGACTGTGATACTGGAAGGCAGAGAGAGAAAGAAAGAAAGAGATACTGGGTTTTGCTGCCTCAGCAGATGTGTGTTAAAGTGCTTTAGTGATTCAGCTAGTGCATCTGCCTGAGGCCAAAGGAGAGGCACTGTCTGAATCTAAAACAATTAATAACAAAAAAAGCCCTACTGTGGGCAGCATGAAGCGGGGGAAGGTGGAAGTGGAAAGGGAGCAAATAACAGGAATATTTCCAGCTTGCAGAGCACCTTGGCAAGATCTCCAACTGCTTTCAAAGACAGCCCTGCAAACCTACCCAGTCCCCTCCAAGATACAGAAGCTTCATCAGCCCTATTGCGCATATAAGGGAAACTGAAGGTGCTTTTGCAACCCATCTACAGTCATCCAGCATCTCTGGAAGAGTGCCAGCCTCTCACCAGAACCAGAAAGCACTTTCTTGATGCCCCTGGGAAACATGATCCCATACACAAGCCCACGCCTGCAGCACTCATGGCTGGATGGTGGGAGAGTTACAGCACCCACTTCTTGTTGGGCCACGCATGTGTTCTAGTAGGGACACTGCCACTTGCCTCATGCTTGGGGACTGCTCTCCAGTCCTTTGAGAGCCACCAGCAATACAATGACCTCTGCTCTCCGCTCCAGCTGGGAAGGTGCAAAGGGGAACCTATGTTGTCTGCTTATGACGAAACATCTGTCTTCCCCATTAGCAGAAGAAACTCATTTTGTACTGTGCTCAGGCAAGAGGAATTTGTCTCCTGAGCCACTTCTGCCTCTACCATCTAAACATCCAGTACCTCCTTTATGCTTCAGTCCTTGTGAAAGGCTCCAAGGACATCCCAACGCTCAGGATCTGATGTCCTTCACTTGCCAAATCCCCTCACCTCACAAGCTAACTCAGGTGAGGCATGGGGAGATGAAGACACCAGAGTCACCAGTCACCACTGGAAATCTTGGCAGCCAAACCTTGATAACATGAAACAGAGCCAACACAGCCCTGCAGAACACCCAGGCTCTGATCTGGTGGGGGGAGACTCCATTTCTACATGCGGTTTAAAATTGATACCCCCATGAGGCATGTTAGAAAGCAAAACATTGATGCTGTCTTCACTGGAAGCATCGGTTGCTTTGTTTTTTTAATGACACGGCAAGCTGCTCGCAAAGAGATAACTTCATTCAGCCTAGCCCTTGCTGGATGTGGAAGGAAGTCCTTGGAGGTGACTCTCCAACGTATCCAGTATGCCACCTAGCCCTCGCTAGCTCTACTACACCCAATGATGCATGACGGGCTGCTCTCTCCTGCTGGAAAGGGGCTCCCAGTGTGAAGCTGCAAACATTTGCTCGGGTTATCACCGCAAGTAAGAAGGCCTTGTCCAAGGGAAAGACAAATATCTTGGGAAGAAATCACGTTCTACTTCTGACACTCAACCCAGTCTCTACACAAAGTGAAACACTGTGTTGATATCTGCACCATGGGCTGTTGCTCATCTTTCCTTTCTGCACTTCTGTCTCAGACTTGCCCCATCAGTTCCACTTTTGGCACTTGTCATTTTTCCCTCCAAGGATGAAATATTGGCTCATTTTCATGACGATGCTTCAGGCACCTGATTTCACAACCTACTTATTCTCCTGTATAAGCATTATTTTGCTAATGAGTTTCAGATCTACACAAACTGGACAGTGGTTTCGGAGGGAGAAAAAAAAAAACTCACCCTTATATCTGTGATTCAGCTTGTAATCTTTCTAGATTGCCTGGACTTGTTTGATGTTCTAAATGCCTCCAAAACACACAGATTAGTCCAAACTGATTAAAGTGTATGTTCCATCCTCTTTATCTTACCCTTAAAAGTCAGTGCTTTTGCACATTACAGAGAGTATGGTAATGAAGTGTGATGTATCTGAGATGTAAAGAACAGTTAACTGCTGTCCAAATAATTAATTCTCTTTTTGCAACACAGCCATATGTAACACATGAAGCCTATGGCAATGAAGTATATTAGAAGATGCTAACAGAAACCTTGGTTTCCTCGGAACACTCTCTCTTTACTCCCCCAGAATAAGAAAGTATGTCTTACAAACACAAAACATGATTGTGATCTGCCTTGGAAGAGCACAAGCCAGGAGAAATGTGATCTTTGTTAGCTGCAGGCTCTCCAACAGCTCATGACCAGCCGTACGCTGCACACTGCCCTGTTGCTGTCTTACTTTCCCAGGGTAGAGGGTATTTTTTGATGTCAGCATAGGACCCCAAAAAGAAAGCCCTTGTGAAGAGCAGGAACAGCATGCACCAGGAGGTCATCTGCAGCTCCATCCCAACTGCTGGGCTCAGTGGATCAATACAGGTGGTAGCCCCATGACCCCCATAGCTGAGACCAGTTTCATCATGCGGGAGAAAACCTGCCACCAGGGCACATCTCATAGCTAAAAACTTCTCATCTTCTGATTGAGGATATGACTTGGTTTCCGGGTGTGTTTTCGTAGATGAATGTCTTCACGGCACAGCACAGGAGTGAAATCAGGGTGGCCACAGGACAACTTCACACCTCCTGGATTTCTGACTGCTCTGAAAGCCCAAGAGAAAGTTCCTGGACAGCCCTAATTAGAGCAGCTTCCCCAGGGATACCTTGCAGGATCTCTGCCCCACGGCAATGCAGCCGTGCCCAAGCTTCCTGTGCCAGGGCTTGCAGCTGGGCTCAATGGAGGCAGTTCTCTACACGCCTCACCATTTTGTGTCTCGCAGGTTGGAGTGGGAGTGAAACCTCTCCTCCAGCCCTCCAGAGACTCTCACTGTCTCCATAGCAGGTGTTAATATACAGGGCACACTGTTTCTTAACGGGTACAAAACAGAATGAGGAGAGCAAATTCCCTCCTACCCTAAGACCTTTCACAAAGTGCTTCCAGATCTCCAGGTGAACAGTGCTCGCTCTCTGCCCAGTGCTGCTTTTTGCAAAGCACCCATTCAGACCGGTGGCAGATGCATGTACTTAATATGCTGTGAAAGTCATGTCAACTGAAGAAACCATTTTAAATCGCTTCTAGACAAAGTCTTAAGGGATTGCTTTTCTTACCTTAAGCATGCTTTTTTATTTATTTATTTTTCCAGTTAACTGTGCTCTAACCAGAAATTAAGGTAGTATTAAATAAAACCTCTGGAAACCCTCTTGGTAGAAAGAAAAAATAAAAGGCTTAGAAATGCAACTTTCGGGGTTCTTTTAAGGGTAGGAGGGAAGAACAGGGGAGAGTTGATCTTTACTACACAGTCCACACGGGGTAGGAAGGCAGTAAACAAGGAACACTTCAGAGGTGCAAAAAAAGCCTTAAGAGTGAAAATTTTGGAGAAGAAGGAGTTAACGCTTTTAAGCAACCATCTCTTCTCTTACCATAGATAAGGGTGCATTCTAGTGGCAAAATCCATGCAATGCAGCTGCACAGATGACTGATCTAAAAAGAAACCTGTGGAATATGAGGCTTTGGAGGAGTGTGTGCACTTGGGGGGGGGGGAGGGGGGAAGACTTGAATCGCACGTAAACCTCACCAGGAACTGTCCGATCGCTTTTAATTTCCCACTGTCCTGGTCGATAACCCTGTGCTTGCGCTCCTGAGTGAGCCCGTAGCCCTTGGCTCTGCCATTCTGCCGGCGGACTCAACTCATCCTCCTGCTCCAGGTGTAACACCCGCTGCACAGCTGCCGGGGCGGGCCGCACCCCCCACGCTTCCAGCTTCCCCGCTCCTAGCAATGCATGAGCATGAAGGGAGGCAAGTGCGAAGGACCACGGCCCTGAGCTCTGTAACCCTTAGGTATGCAGCGGTGGAACAAAAGACAACAGCCCCAAGCTGCCCAGGACAGAGGATGAGCATTGCAAAGCGCTTTTTCTTTTCTTCCCTTCTCCCTCCCCACTTTGTGCAGGGCAAGAGGCAGAAGAAGAATGAGCTAAAACGTGCAAATTGGACTTCACATGGCAAAATTCCCCTTGTTTTCTGGCATGCCCTAAGCAACAGCGAACTTTTCCAAAGAGGAATCTAAGAGTTCTTACAAGCAGCCCAGCCCTCCCTCCTGCTCACTGTCCGGCGCGGTTAACCCTTGCTGTTTGGGAGTATCATGGGCGCACCCTGGCACCGGGCAGAGCCTCACTGCGGTTTTACACCGGGCAGAAGGGCAGGAGAGGCGAGCTGGGCACCCTGCGCACACACAAAGGCTCCTTCCCAGGCCAGGGGGGGGGTGAGAGCGGCTCCTTGGCGCGCATCCAGCCATCTCCCTCCTGTACTCACCTTGGGAGCTGAGGGGTAGGTGGGTGAGCCCGATCCCCGCTCCGATGGCCCCCCAGCCCCCCAGGCAGCAGTTGGGGATCCCTGCCCCACCAGCACAGCGTACAGCTGAGGCAGGATCAGGCCCTGCTAACTCACCCCTAAATGCAGAGCCCTGACCTCTCCCTCCCTGACTCCCCACAGCCCAGGCTGCTGTGCAACCCAATTGCAACCACTTTTCTCCTTTTCTCCTTTCCTTAAACCGTGAAGATCTGAACTTCTCCCCCCTCCTCTCTTCCCCTCCCCATCCTCGCCTTTCCCTTCCCCCTCCTCCTCCTCCCCTTGTCTCTCCTCATAATATTATCCTTGATCAGTGCCCGGGGTTTGAAGCCCAGAAGTCAGGAGCGGCGCTCCCCACCCCCACCGGCTCGAGTGCGCACTGATAGGGCCCTCTCTGCTGGCACCTAGTCAAGCTGAGGTGTCATTGGGATCTCAAATTGCAGCGAGGGGCTGGCAGGCAGCCAGGGGCAGTCTATTTAAAAGACAGCCTGTTCTGCAGTATTCAGTCTCTTTAGAAACTTCTCCAGGGGAAAAGTGTTGGGAGATCTACAAAGTGGATTTTTTTTTCCTTTTTTTCCTTTTTTTTTTCCCCCCTTCCCCCTGTTTTTTACCGCTCCTCTGCAGACTTTGCAACAAAACACTCCAACTTTGCAGAAACTTTTCTTTTTTATATTTTTAATATTTTTGCCTTTTCTAGTTTTTTTTTTCTTTTTTTTTTTTCCGGCTTTATTTTGCCTTTGCAAATCCTGGAAGAGGAAAGCGGGAGGGTTGAACAGAGCCGATCGAAACACAACTTTGCTTCATACCAGGCTTCCCAGCACCTCGCTGCGTCGGGAGGGACTGTTTCTCTTCCTGCAGAAGAAGAGAGAGGGAAGGGGAGCTTTGCATCCCCTGTTCCCTCTGCTGCGTGTTGGGTTTCGTTTTTTCTACCCCTCTTGACTGCTTTGATGCATTAATAGCAGGACACTGGTTTTCAAGGAACTTTGCTCCCTTCCCACCCTGCCTCCTCCCAGCCCTTTGGGAAGAGTGTGTGTGTGCGCGTGAGTGTGTGAAACCGCCGTCCCACCTCCCCAAACCCCCCTGCTCCCCTCCGCCTCCCCCTGCAACCTGTAGGCTGTGCAACCCCTGCAGGCTTTGCTCCCTTTCCCCCCCTCCTTCCTTCCCCTCTTCTTTTTGCGCTCCCGCAGATTGCTGTGCGAATTCCCCCTTCCGAGGCGAGAAAAAGCAGAAAGAAGGAGAAAACGGACAAAAAGACAAAAAGCAAACCTAGAGGTCCCCCCCCCTCCCAACGCCAAAAGCAAAGCAGGAGGGTCTAGCACCCCGAGAATAAACCCCAGAGCGGGGCGCCTGCACGCAGGGGCTGCACTTTCCGCCCTTCTTGAATTTTTATTTTTGTTTCTCTTTTTTGCCCCAGAAGGGGCAAGCGGGAAGCCAGCGCCGCCCGCCCCCCCCCCCCCCCCGCCCGCGGCACCCCCCGCACCCCGTCCCGCAGCATCCCCGCCGCGATGCTGCTGCGGCTCCTGGTGCTGCTGGGCGCCTGCCCGGGGCTCTCGCGGTGCCTGGGCTCCTTCGTGCAGTGCGAGCCCTGCGACAGCAAGGCGCTGTCGCTGTGCCCGCCGCCGCCGCTGGGCTGCGAGCTGGTGAAGGAGCCCGGCTGCGGCTGCTGTCTCACCTGCGCCCTGCCCGCCGGCCAGCCCTGCGGCGTCTACACCGAGCGCTGCGCCCGCGGGCTCCGCTGCCTCCCGCGGCAGGGCGAAGAGAAGCCGCTGCACGCCCTGCTCCACGGCACCGCCGTCTGCCTCAGCGAGAAGAGCTACCGCGAGCAAGCCAAGGCCGGTGAGTGACGCCCGCCTCGCCCTCCCTCATCTTTCCCGGGTGCTTTTCCGTTCTGCCCGCCTGCTTTTTCCACCCCATCACCGTCTCCCGGCTGCATTTTCCTCTCTTCCTGGGTGTTCTTCCGCTTGCTTTTCCGCCTTTCCGGCTCCCTTTCCATCTTTCCGCTGGCTTTTCTACTCCCTCCCACTGACTGCTCTTCCCTGCGCCCCCTCCCCCCGCCCGCCTTCCTGTTCTTCCGACTGCTTTTCCATCTTCCCAGGTGCTCTTCCATGCACCCGCTTGCTTTTTCGCCTTCCCGGCTACTTTCCCGTCTTTCCACCCGCTTTTCCATTCCCACTCTTCCCCAGCTGCTCTTCCATCCCCCCTCGCCCGCCGTGTGCTTTTCTGCCTTCCCGGCTGCTCTTCCATGCCCCTCCACCACCACTAGCTGCTTTTCCATTTTTCTGGCTACTTTTACATCTTTCTGCCTGTTTTTTTTTTTTTTTTTGTATCTCTCTCATATACACACATATACAGACCCCAGCTGCTTTTCCATCTTTCCAACTATTTCCCCATTCCTTCCCCACCCCTTCCACCAGGAGCTTTTCCAAGCCCGATGGTTCTTTTCCATCTTTTCTGGCTCCTTCTCCACCACCATCACTTCCCTTGTCTGCTCTGTCCTCTCCCTGTTGCTTTTCAACCTTCTTTTTCCATCTTTCCGGCTGATCTTCCACCCCTCCCATTTGCTTTTGCATCTTTTCCAGCTGCTCTTGCACGCCCTTTGCTGTTCTTCCATGCCCCCCACTGCTTTCCCATCCTTCTTTGCATCCATGCCCTTGTTGAACCTCCTGTTGCATCATCTCACAGCCTCCCCCCAAACCACCCCCCCCCTTAAATCATGACCTCTGGGTTGCCCTATCCCTAGTGGAAAGCTTTTCTTCCGCCACCTCCCAGGTGCACCCTCTTAGTCACAGCTGCATCCCAGTCATTCCCCAGTTGCATCCTTTATATCTTTCCTGCATCCTCATCCTCTCCCTGACCCCTTTCTCTCACCGTATCTTCCACCTTGCTGTGGGGCCCAAATTGACCTCTGCAGGTTGACATACAGGGGAGGGCAGGGCACCTTCTTGCAACCACCTGCCCCATCCCTGAAGTCCTCAAGCACCCCGGGGTTCGTTGCTCAAACTCCCACTTTCCCCTCACCATCACTGCAGCCCTCTCCTCCTGCCTGACCACTGCCGGACGCCTTTGCTGGGCAGTGGGTTTTTCACCACCAGGGAGGTGAAGAGAGCAGGTGCATTGGGAGCAGGGGATCTACGATTGCAAAAAATAATGATAGTGTCGCTAATAATCAGAACAGGTTAAAAGCAAGCACGAAGGCTGGTGTGGCAGTGCCAGTGCAAAGCCAAGCTTCTGAAATATTTGCACCTTGCACGTGACAAAAGCACGAAAGTAAGCACTCCTCCTCTTTGGCACTCGTTTAACTCACATTTCTGGATCCTGCAGCTTGTGCAAGGACGCTTTCCCTTTACTCCTTCAAATACATTTATATTTCTGCCACACGGTGAAGAGGAGGCAGGGAGGGTTTCTGCATGTTCAGGGGACCAGAAAACCACTTGCCAAAAAAAAGAAAAAAAACACAAAAAAAGCCAGAAACGAGCCCCCCACTTTTTTTTTGTTACATGAAAAACTCATTTTTGCATGTTAGCAAGCTTCTGCTCATACCCGCGCAATGGGAATCCGTTCCTCCTTCCTAGCACCTAATAAATCTTGATGGTTTTATTATTTTTCCCCTTAGCTGCTTGCAGGCAGTGGTTGTGTTGCTACGCTCCATCCTTCAGAGCAAAACCAACTTCTGTGTGTATAAATTCCCCTCTCCCTCAAATGACAACAAATGTCCAAACTCCCTTAAAGCCATACAGAAACAGCAAAGCTGAGCTTAGTTTTCTGAAGGGGAGCTGGAAGGGATGAGGGTTGGAAGGGGACCCACGCAGGGCAAAGCCAGGAGCTGAGTTCTTGCCGTGGAGCCCAGGAAGCTGGGCAATAACTCACTGGCAGCAGAGCTATATGAAGTATCCGGGAGCGCATCATCGCTGGTGTTTATTTACTCTGTGCGAGTGTGCGCACAGCCAGGGGCAGGCGCTGTGCTCGGGAAGGCAAAGCTGTGCAGCTGAAGCCCAGCAGCACCGAGGAGACAAGGGCTGATCTTTCTGCCCATGACACAGGTGACCCATGCAGACAGAACAAAGGCATCTGAAAAAGCTGTGGTGCTTGGTTACCAGCAGGAATCTAACTTGGTTCCACCTGCTTTGCTCTTCCCCAGGAAACTAGTCCTTTAACAGGTGCTTTGTGTGAAAACCTTGTAGTATTACAGGGTTTGGTTTTGTTGGGATGGGGAGCACCTGTTGAATGAACAAGGAGAGGGATAGGAAAGAGGTTACAGGTTGGTTGCAAAACCACCCCCCAGCACTACGTGCGCTTCCAGTTTGGACTCCCTGAGCGCTGCAGGGGGCTCTTTTTGACAGGTTTTGTTCGAAGCCGAGAGATGAGCCTGGATCCAAAAGGCTGCTGCAAGGAGCTGTGGGAGACCAGCAGGCTCCTCTTGAGATTTGTGAGATTGCAAAAAAGAAACAAAAAATAAATGAGGAATTCCTGAGGATGGGAGAGGAAAAAAACTCCTGGCATTCTACTGGTAGCGTGTGAGAACAAAGTATATTTTCATAGGCGTGTTCCTAAGCAACGGGGCAAGGAAAGAAATTAAGTTTGACTTGAACTCTCTGGCCTCTGCCAGTTTGGCCAGCAGTGCAGGGACCATGCACTGGGGAAGCTGGCCTGGCCCTCCCATCTATCAATGACCAAAATTGGCCCTGAGCTGTGAACCGCTGAGAAAGAATCAGCACTCTGCAAAATAAACTATGTGACAGTAGCGAGGACTAGATCAAACTGCATTTCTGTCTATTTCTGCTCTTGGCGCTGGCCGAGTTCAAAATCACAGATGCTTTCCTCTTTGTAGTTGAGGTGGAGAAGCAACCAGCGGTATTACAAGAGCCCAAGCCTGGGAGGCTGGGCTTGGCTCTTCTGTAGACCAGATGTCTTGCCTGAGGACAAGATGCTCCCAGGTACCATGCCTCAGTTTCCTCATCTTTAAGCTGTGCACAGCTGTACTGACAAATGCTGGACCTACTGAGCAGAATATGTTCATGGTTCGCTGAGAGGTCGGAAATGAAAGAAAGAGTGGGATTAGAGGGCTTTGGTAAGGCTCATTTTAAGTAGACCAGTGTGTAGGTACTGACAGGACAGTCCCTGTAATCCTTCTTGGCACAACTGTCCTTTACCGAAAGCCAAACATTACGGCCGTAATTGAATGTTCCTGGTAAAACAACATGAATGAGCTTCATTTATGGCACAGGCTGCAGGATTCTGGGTTTTCTCTGTTTTGTTTAGGTTTCCTTTGAAATACACCATGTCTTTCCATTTTTCTGCCCCATGCTCCTGCCAGACTTCCTCCTGCTGAGACAGCAAGGTCAGGCCGGGAGCTGGGGAGCGGAGGGCACAGATTGGAGCCTGCTACCCTTAAAAAGGCTTGTGGAAAAACAAAGGTTGTCAAATATTTCCTTCTCCTCTCTCATTCCTGCTCTCTTTCTAGAAAGCGAGCAAGACTTGGCAAGTTTCCGCACGAAACTGTGAGCCAACGATAACCAGGAGGGGAAAGGAGGGGGGTTGCAGAATTAGCCCTAAGAAAATCGTCTTTGCTGCGTCAGATGGAAGTAGGCGGAGTAGGAACGCTAACAAGCCCAAGTTTCCTGCGGCTCGTGTTCAGTGAAGTCCTTTATCCCTTCCCAACTTATTTCCCCCCCTTCCCTCCCCCCCCCCCATTTCTCCTTCCTGTGCTCTTCTGCTCCCCATTCAGGGACGCAGGGCTTCAGGAGTGAGCAGTGGGGATGTGGCAGGGCAGGTGGGCAGCTGAGATCTGGGGTCCAGGGTGAGGGTGAAGGTTAGGGCAGGGGTCATGGGAGCGGGGCGCTTGGGATGCACCGTCTTGCAGCCATGTGTTGCTCAGGGAGGGACCCGGCTGGTGCAAGCAGCAGGTCCTTTGTGCGAAGCAGCTCCCGAGCTGTCAAGGCAAAAGCTAGTAGCAACAGGCCTGCAAAGCTTCAGATCCAAAACAGGAAAATCTCCATTTTTCTTTTGATCTGAAGTTTCAACAACAATAACAATATATTAAAAAAAAAAAAAAATTAAATCCATCAGGTGCCAGCAAGAGCCGGGTTTCTGCGGTGTGTGTACGGGGGAGGGAGGGATGGGGTGGTTCAAACAGGAAAGGAGGGGCCTTGGCTGGAAAGATTTTTCTGCAGCCTGGTTTCTAAGGAAGGAGGGAGAATATTAAGTAGTCGATCCAAATGAAATTCCTGCCGGGTGCCAGCGGAGTTCACCGGAGAAAAAACATGGCTCTGTGCGTGCGTGCATGCATGATAGATCTGGTCCCCACCTCCCGCGCAGCGCTGTCAGCCTGGACCCACTCCAGGTGAATGAAGGGAGCCCCTCCAGAGCCTGTGCTGCTGCAGGGGAGAACTGGGGCTGGCCTTAAATGGGAGCCCCCGCAAACCTGAGAGGTGGCTGTGTGCCTCCTCCTGTCGGTATTTAAGCACCAGCATCCTGTGCCCAGATGTTCGTTGCAACTGTGGCATGTCAGTGTGTGACCAGAGTTGTGCGTGACTGAAGTGTTTGCATGATTGTGGGTAGAGGTGTCTCCTGAGGCCCAGAAGAAGGGAGTAGGAGAGCTCGGGTATGTTTTGTGCCAGCTTCAAGACAGCCCCCGGTTTCTTTTGTTGTGTAGTTTGGCTCACATGTGTCAGGGCAGACAGGGAGGAAGAAGAGAAGAAGAAGCGAGCTGGCACTGCCTTTGCACAGAGTGTGGTCCTCTGCTTCCTCCTAACGTCCGCTGGAAGTTTTACTCATGCTGGGCTGAAAGACATCACGGATGTGAGAGTAGCTGTGGGAGTTTTTACAGTGGGGATGGTTCTCTGTGCTCTTCACCTAAACTGGAAAGCCTGGGAGCACTCTAGGAAGGGGGCAGGAACCTCCACCCCCTCCTCTGCTCAGCAGGTGAGCTGCTAAGAACAGCTGCAGCTCATTTCACCTCTGTTCAGTTATAGGGGAGATAAAAGGGCCCACAACACAGCAAATCCTGGCTATTTTTTTACCAAGCACTTAGTAGCACTGATTTAAGGTCAGACATAAACGGAGAATTTGGCTGGAACACACCTGCCCTCGATGTGGGCTGCAGAGCAGCAGGATTAACATGCACAGGAAACATATGCCTGTGAACATACATATACATGTACTGTGTTGACACACCCACACATGCTTGCACAATGGTTTAATGTGTGCAGATACATACATGGAGCATTTTTGTCTCTCAGGCAGAATGGTTTCCAGGCAGCACACACAAACCTCTCTTATGTGCAGTGGTTCTGCTTATGAGTGGCACATTGGTATTTTGACATCAAGATTAGATATTGGCATGCAGACCAGCCTACCCTATTCACCCACCGAGGGCTGAGAAATGAGATGCAGCAGGTGAGCATATCAAACAACAGGAAGCAAGGAAGGAGATAGATGCAAGATATTCCTCCCAGACAGCTGTGTGGATCTGAACTCACCCCCTGTGCTTGGAAGTGGCTTGTGTTTTTTGGGATAGAGCAAGTCTACATTAGTTAAATACCTTGAGAGATATCCCAGTGAAGATGCAGAGAGGTTGCAGTTTGCAGAGGGCAGCCAATCCACCTCCTGCCCCGTGCCAGGGCTGCAGGATATGTGGAGAAGGCAGTGGTGGCTGGTGGCATCAGTGGAGATCATGCTAGGGGCACTGAAGGAGCTGGGACCCTTCAACCTTCTCTTTGCTCAGGCAGCAACAACTGGCCTTTGGGAAAGTGAGAAGAAGAACTTAACTGGGGAAAGATAGCAAAGCTGCTAAGATGTGGCAGGCTGAGGGAAGGAGAAATAACCTCCAGCATTGAGGAGGAGGAAGCAACAGGACCTGAAGACATGGTGCATGCACAAGTCAAAGATGATCCAGAGTTTGGCTTGTGTGAACTCACTGGCAGCCAGCATAATAATCACCTAGTCATTTGTAAGAAGATTTTTTTACAGGCAGAAAGATAGATACTATCTGTTTATCCTCAGGACAGGTATAGCTGAAATATGAGGAAGCTCTGCTGGCGAGGAGGAGGAGGGATATTTGGTGCCCACATTCTGGGATCCCCTAAAACCTGGACCTACTGGGTCCATATAGCAAGAGCCTCCACACTGGGTCTCCTGTGGGGCACAGAGTGGGGTAGAAGCTGTTCCATAACTCCTGGGCCTGGGGCCTGCCTGTTTGAGATCACTGAGCATGGGTTGTGCTTGATGCCTCAGCCCTTCCTGGAAGGCTCACATCACATCTGGTGATGAAGGAGTGACATCCCCATCCTCTAGCCACTCAACCCCCACAAGACATGCTCTACTACCTCAGCTGTGTAGCCAAGGCAACTCTCAGCGAGATGTTGGTTTCGAGGTGGCTCTTTGATGCTAGCAATCTGAGGGAACCCTTCAGTGTCAATCCGCTGCTTGCAGTTAATCCCAGCAGGAGCCATCATACTGTGTTTGCAGAAATTTGGGATGTTTGATGTGGGCAAATTTTCTCTCAAGGAACTCAAGGAAGCCGTTTCTCAACATGTTTTGATGGGTCTCCTGTCTGTTTATGATCTTTCCAGGACAAGTGTGCTAACTGTCCATCAATCCACGTCTTTTAGATACCAGCTTTTGGCTAGGAGACCATACCTGCACTGAGCAATGCCTACAGGAAGGTCCAAACGTTGCCTGGGGGGAGAGAGATCCGGTCAACAGGCTAAACCCTGTGCAGTCAGTGGGCATTTCATGTGTTGTACGCATAAAGCCTTGCTCTCACTATTACCCTCATTCTGTAGAACCCTCAGATATTCTCACAATTTTTTCCCAGTGCCTCCACCCCAGTGGTACTGCCTCTTTCATGCAGAATTTGGGAAGGGGGTGTCAATACCCACCACCACCAACTGGCACATCATTCCCTATTAGCCTGGCAGGACTTGATCTTGCAAGATGCTGAGCACCAAAGCATCACAAATTTTTGGGGCAGCTAACCTCCTCCATGGGAGCCAGCCACCTCAGTCCTTGAAGGTCTGCAAGGCCAAAGCAGAAGATTATGTTGGGTTAGGTAGGATTGGAAAGCTCTTAGCAGCTGTCTGCCTTGAGGGCTGTTGGTTTGTTTGCTTGTTGGGTGGACACAGCTGGCTGACTGATGGAGATAATTGTTATGTTGATAGAGATAACTGGTCTGGTTGCTATTCAAAGCAAGAAGGTAACCCTGAGAGATACTTCAGGAAATGATCCTTTAGCTAACCAAGAGAGGGAATGTGTCTTAAAGGTAACTTTGGGTGCAAAGTTGGCCAATAGTCATAATTCCTTTTGTAGAAAACCAGTAGAAATATTTTCTTTTTCCAGATTCAGATAGGTTTCAACCTCCAAAGACAATTAAATCAACAGACCTGTTTATTATTCATGATTAAGAGATCAGATATTATGCACTGGACTAATGAAAAAAATCTAGTAATTAATTAAGCCAGGGAACAACTGGCTTATAGAACCTGCCTCTCATTTTTTAATCTAAAAGAGATGCTGGAAAAGGAAAGAAGTTTTGTTAGGGAGGGGCTGCATAGTTTTTATACCTGTCCAGCAGTCAGTTATGGTGCTGCCACAGCCACAGTTATGTCTTAATAATGTCTAAATACACAGTGGCATACAGCCATTTTGCTTTGACTTGTGGCTTCTGCTTTCCTAAAGAAATAGCAGAAATGGGTGAAATTTTACTGCATCATTTCATAACCATTTCAGTGTTCAGTTATTTGGTTTTGTAATAGTAGAAGTGGCTCGAGGTTGCTGGAAGAACTAAGAAGTGCAACAGGGATTTTATCATTCCAAAAAGGCTTCGGACTTGATAACCCTCTGGCAAAGGGGGGATCAGTTGTCTTTCTTGGAATTTCACACCACAGACTGGAGGTCTGTACCCTTTGCTCCATCAAAGGACACATATTTTTAATATTGAAAAGCATCTTTGCATTGTGTTGGACCAAAGGGAATTGGTTTATTGGTATGCAGTGATCTAGTGTAAGGAGGGAAATGGTTAGGAGAGACAAGAGTCATCTGCCAGGATCAAGCTTGGGCAAGTTACTGCTTATCAGAATTGTCAGAGTGTGAACATCAAACTTCTGCTACGTTTTTGTGCTTAGGTGAATTGAGAGAGTAAATAATGAGCAAGTCTACTCCAGGTGAAGGCTTTCTGAGAGAAGGAGCCATTAAGAAAGTAGAAAGGAGTCCTGAGGGCAGAGGTGGAAATCTCATGGCTCGGAACTTGTAAAAGTCAGGTTGGACTGTACATGTGACATTGTGTCATCTGGTGCTGACACAAAGTTGAGCAATAGGTGATCTCACACATCTTTTCCATCTAGTTTAAGGCAGAGCTGTGAAAGTCAGGCTGAGGGCCTAGAAATTAATCCACGTTAGGCTGGAGGTTGCAATCACAGCTGCACACGTGAAATATTTGTGGTGTTCCACCAGTTCTCACCCTGCACCTGATACAGATGCATCTGCAGACTCCATCTGATGTGCCTTCACCTCTCTTCGGGGCAAGCAAAAGGTTTGGCTTTCTTGGATCTTCAAGTTACTGGCTGCTGTATATAACATAAGTGGGGATGGGTCTTTTGGTGGAGACTTACCAGCCTCCAGCGAGAGCAGCATCTCCTGGATTCAGTTCCAGTAAGTCAGTTGTTAAAAGCTTCTGCTTAATACTAAACTAAATCAGGTTCAAAACCCTGACCAAAAAGCAAAAGCCTCCCTCATCCGTAAGCAGGCCAGAGAGCTTAGCATAAACTGTAGTGGCTGCTTTCACAGTACATCCTCTTCTCAGGATCATCTCCTTTAATGCAGTCTTCCCATCAGTTGCACAGTGTTCATAGTATTGCTACAGTATCCACAGTCATATCCCAGGTTTTAATAGCCACCAGCAACAGTCTTCTTGGTTATGCTTCTAAGGTCTTCTAAGCACCTGGCTCTACAATGATTTGTCAGATTTGAGTTTCAGTGATCAGAATAGCATCAGCATCCTGGCAGCATCCTGCTTTCAAGTCCAGGTTTCTTGACAGCTTGTGTATATGGACACCAACCTTCAGCTGAGTTTTAGAGACAGAACCCCAATAGTTCAAGAGGGCAAAGCTACCTAATCATTTCCCTGGTGACATTTCCTCCATCACTGCTGTACAGCTGCCTGCATCCAAAGAAGTCCCCATGTCCTCTTCTTTCTCATATAATAATTATAGTTGATGGATGCTATTGGAGTTCTTGTCCAACCCATCACACCTCCTTCTTTCCTAAGGACACAGCAAGATTTTTTTTCAAGTGATCTCTGATGGCCAGATGAGCACTTTACACTCTTTTGTTTCTATTCAGAAGATTCGAAAGCGTGTGTGTTTTCTAAGTAGGGTTTCCTTTTTATGACACAGGTAAGCCCCATGGAGAAACTACTGGTAAACAATTCAGTGATGCTGTTAAGAGTTACTCCAGATTTTCCTTACCTTTACTGTCAGTTGGGCAGAAACTGCCATGTGGTCTTCTTTCCTGAGTTTTCTTTTTTTGTTCTTTTCTGTTCTTAACTCCTTGACAGCCTGGCGGGGTTTTTGCCTCCTTTATAACAACCAGTGGAATACGCCACTAGGGTGAATTTGTTGGAAAAGATGCAAGACTAAGAAAGATGAATGATTTCATCCTTTCAGGGAGGAAGAATATGTCTTGGTCACTATGATATTGAAAGATGATTTATTTAGATTTCTCTCGGTCATTCTTCAGTTCAGCTCTCAGCTTCTTCTGCAGTTTCAGCATATGGAATGGGGAACATCTGCAGTCTCCAGAAGATGTGAAGGAAATATGTTTTATCTTCCTATCATCGGTGCATCAGCAACAGGAGCTTCTTGATGTAAATCTAATCCTGAAATACTTCCTTCCCCTCCACTTGGCAGTTCAGTTCACTGGAAGATAACTTTGTTCAGGAAATGTCAGGCTAATACCAGCAGCTATCTAGAAACACAGTGCCTGCAATTTTGCATGATCAGCATTCATTTAATTGAAATGGATGGATGTTTGTTCATGTTCTTACCAGAGGGAAAAGCTCTGGAAAGTTTCCCAACTCTTTTACTGATTAAACATTTTGGGTTCTCTCTTGCATAGAAATGGTTGTCAGTGAGAGCCCAAAGTCTCTGGCCATGCAGCCTGTTGACTCAGACCCTTACCTGGTCTTGGTGTGTCATGTATATGCATTGCAAACTCCCTTTGCTATAGCCTTTGCTGAGAATTGATCATAGCAGATTTGGGAGCTCTCTGGAGAGAAAGAGATGGATCAGAGACAACACCTCTCGGTGTTGTCCTTCCTTGTACATGCCAGATCAGAAGCAGCCGAGCCCACCAGCTGGTGCCCATGCTCAGCTCTTCCAGCACAGCAAGGATGCTTAGAGTTTGTCAAACTAACATCTAACAATGTATAGGGAGCTCCTGTACATTATGGAGCTCCCCATTTCTAAACCTGCTTTTCTCCTTGCACTGGAGAGTTGCTCCCAGGGAGTTTTATTTTGTGACTGCAGCAAGAAAGGCCAACTCAGGCAAGCATCGTTTGGCACACAGCAACACAGATCCCTCTTTACACTTCCAGTTCCTATAGCTGTACATCTCCCACCTCCATGGCACTTGCTGGTACTGCGGAGAAGTGGTGCTGACCCAAGAGATCCATTCCTGCAGATAGGCTCTGCACTTCCAGAGCAGACCAAAACATGAGCTGATTCCCTTGAGAGCTCCTTTCCCACATGCTGAGCTGTATTTCTCCCCCATCCAGCTCTGTATGAGGACACCGAGGTCATCAGGATGATGATCTCCCTTTCCCATGAATCCTTTGTGAACCTGGGGGCAGCCCAAGCACCTGATATTCACGCTCTGCAGGTGAGCCCTGGCTGATGCAGCAGAATCTGCATCCACAGGTTTCTGCTGAGGAGACATTACTCTCCTGAGAAAGAGCTGGTCTTCCAGGAGAGTTCAGCAAAGCCCAAACAATAACTTCAAAAAAAGGACACAGTACGACAGTGTAGCACATCCCTCTGCTATCCGTCCCTGTTCTCTGAGGCTTGCTTGTAAGGTGTTCCTGAGCTATTCCCAAGCATCCTTCTGGCTCTTGGATTAAGAAAATGGAGATAAGTCTTAACCCAGGGTTGAGTCCTTCCAGCCCTCTGGCAGCTTTTTCGCCTCTTTTCTGAGCCTGGTCCCACTGCTCCATATTCTTCTCCTAAAAGGTGTCTCTGTGGGACAAGAGAGTGAGGTCCCAGCAACTTGCAGCATGCTGTCACAGGGATATAAGGTACTGGACTACCCCAGAACTCTCTTCCAAAAGCTTGTATGGCTTTTGGGACGGACTGTTTTTGGACTCTGATCGTATGTCTTTGCAGGGGACTGGGCATGGTGGGGTATAGTTGGTGTTTTTGTGGGCGCTTCATGATGCTTTGACTGCTGAAGACTTCCTTCTATGCTCTGCAAATCACAAAGGTGATTTGCTGGCTTTGGCATTTGTTGGGATACTTAATTCCCAGCAAAGAACACAGGGTCTGGGTTTTCTTACCACCACCCCTATGCCTGTAAAATAGTTTTGTCACTGCTGCCTGTAAGAGCTACGTAACAGACTGCAAGGGGACCAGTACTAAAGAGGTTGTAGGATTTATCTTTCTTAACTTCAGATCTTTGGAAGCCTAAGAGTGACCATTGGAGGCACAGGAGGAGAGACTGCAGCCTCCAGAGACATGTTGTTCCACCCTAAAATCAGCACCCCCAAGCCTAATGATGGAGCTGGTCACAATCTGGAGGTTGCAGCATCTCTGCAATGAGTTAGACATGGAATTTAGCCATCGAGCAAAGCCCAGACACTTCTGTATTAGTAGATGGGTGTTATTTAACCCAGATCTGTCATAAATGCCTGTTGCACATTGCTGGGACTTGTGGGATGTGGGGTGGCAGTCCAAGGAGGGCTGCTGTTTTCCTATCCTTCTTAGTGTGTGGTGTCTCCTCCCAGTCTCTCACCGCCTACGAGCATCACCAGTGTGCTCCCTTGCCAGTCCCTGCTAGATGAGCCATGCCGGTCTGCTGCCGAGTCCCCACCAAAGCACAAAAGTTCGTCGAAAGTCCAAGGCACATAGCAGCTGGCTCTGCAGCAGCCAACACCCTGGGCTAGCGGGGGACCAGCCAGAGCCTACATCCCCCAGCCCTGGCTGCTCCTCCTCTGGTGGGTGCCAGACAGCCTTGGGTTGGGCGGGCGCCTGAGATCACTGCCTGACCTCACCAGGGCGGTGATCTGGGCTCAGGGACCCCCGCCCCCGGCACAGCACCTGAGCCGGCTTCCACTGCCCACCCTGCAAGGCTGTGCACAGGGCTGCGGGTCATTCACTGATGTGCTAGGGATGTGTCTGCAGTGGGACTGTAAATGAGCTGTTTCTCATTAGGGCAGTGAAAGCTCCCTTCTGGGCTGATCCCTGTGGCCTCCAGGGAGCTCAGGAATGCTTTTTCTCAGTTGTGCTCTCCAGCTGCCAAAGGGCGCAAGATGAGATGACCCTCCTCGCTCCACATCCCTGCCCTGCCTGCATTCTGAGCATGCAAACACAGGGGCTGACCCTGTGCGCTGATAAGGAGGGAGGGATCTTTATTTTCCTGTCATGAGCACAGGTCCAAGGCTGGAGAAAAACTTGCCTGCCCATCCCATGAGGTTTTGATGTAGGTCTGGTACACCCTCTCCTCTGGAGTGGGGACAACTGGGGAGGGCAGCTGGGTGAAATGCATGAGCTGGGCTTTTACCAGCCTGGGTCCTGAGCACAGACTTCTGTATAAGACTGAGACTGAAGAAAAATAGGTACACCTCTTATGTGATTTGCAATAAAATGCTGATTTCAGGGACAGCACCAACATTCCTCTTCTCCCGGCCACAGGGATCCCAGGAAGCTGCTTTACATTGCCCAGCAAGAAGCAGTATCATAAATGATGGGGGAGGAAGGAGAAATGGGAGGATCCTGCCCCTCTGGCAAGTACAGGGAAGAAGAAAAACATTGATTTCACCACCTACTGCCTCTGCCTGCGTGTGTGTGTAAAGTCCAGCAAGAAGACACAAGCAGCCAGCGTTGGGCTGGGCAGATAATGGAGCCACCGTAGATAGGAGTCTGCGGCTGTTTGTGCTGGAGAGCTGTTGTTATGGGTGAAGCTCAGAGGGAGTGTCCAGATCTGTCTCTGATTAGCACTTTGGGGTCCTGATCAATGGGAACTGCAGGAAAAAAATCCTTCCCCTCTCTCTCTCTGCCTCTCCCCTAAGTTTCTTCTTTTCTCCATCACCAGTACCGGCTGCCTAGGTGTGTTATCCCAAAATGTTTTCCCTCCCTCCAAAAAGAAAGCCAAAATGTCAGAGATCACACATCCAGATTTGGAAACCACCGTGCTGTAAGCAGCAATGGGATGGAAACTGGGATCATCCAAAGACAGCTGCCACCAGGGCTCAAATTTACAAAGAGCCCCCTGGAAAAGTGGGGTGGTGGCATCACTCGTGAAGTCCTGTAGCTGGGGATATGCCCTTCATGGGCATGCTGGGAGGTAGCACTTAATGCTGGGGATAAATCCTCCTCCATTGGACAGCGGAGACATTGTGCACTGTGCTGTTCAGTGGGAGACTGCTCTCTAACCAGCGATGTTTCAGCTCTGGATAGTGTAAGCCTTGATTTCCATCTTGCAGTGAGCACTTCTGAACAGAGATGGCTGAGTTTGGGGATGGAGGAAGGACAGGGAAACTTCTCAAGGTCTCCACCAGTGACGTTTGTCATTCCTATGCTAGAGGTTTAATTGAGATCCCCGTTAAGTCTTTCTCCAACAGCTTTCTGCTCAAGTGGTGTGTTACGTTAGTGCTTACATTGTAAATAGTAATAATCATGATAATAATCAAGAGGGCTGTTCAGCAAGGTTGTGCTATGGTCGTGCTTGTTTTTCTTAAGGTGTATGTGGCTTTTGGGGGGGGGGGGGGGTTGAGCAGGACAGCAAGTTCTCTAGCAGTGGGCTGTGGAAGTAACAAGCATGGATCATTACCAGCCGCAGTCAATAAGATACTTTTCCTACCTTTCTGCCAGAAACCAATGAAAACATGTTACAGAAATTCCAGCCATTTGGATAAAGCTTCCTGCTCTGCTCTGTAAAGTCAGCAGGCAGGGAGGCAGTGTTCCCACATGCCCCACACCCACGTGTGAACACACACCTCTGCCCTGTGGGGAACTCACACATCTCCAACACATCTGAAGCGTGGAAGCACCCGGGCTGGGTTTTGGCCCAGATGCAGGAAAGTGCCCGGGCTGCTCTGGGTGGTATCTGTTGAGGACAGCAGCCAGACAGAAGCAGTTTGCAGCTTTCCAGAACTGTGCCTGGTATTTTGCTACGCTGCATCCTTTCTGTGGGGGCAGAGTGAATGGGTTGGAAATGGCTCCTGCTAGAGAGCAACCTTTGGCCAGTCCGAAGTGGGGAGAGGGACGGTGCCCTCAGCCTGGGACAGAGGACAGTCCACGCTCTGCTATGAGTATTTTCTGTCTCTCAGGGCTCGTGGGAGCCTGCATGGATTTGGACATCCACACCACAGTCCTTCTGGCCTAGCCTGTGCCAGGACCATATGCAGATGCTCACCCCTTTTTCCCTGGGTCCTCCATGGGCACCGCAGCATCAGATCAGACAAAAGGCCACAGGCTGGCTTTGAGTTGAGTTGAGTTTAGTCTCCTGCTTTGGCTGTACAGTCAACATCCTCTTCAAATGGCTACAGCCCAAGTCTCATCTCCAGAGTAACCAAGCATCCTTGTCTTGGCCAGCAATGTCATTCTTCTGTGTGGCCAGTGAGCCTGGGACTTCGCCTGAGAAGGAATGGAGGTGTGAAAGCCACCTCCTGCTTCCCAGTGTCCCCATGCTGGGAACACAGTGCGCAGGGCCTTCCTGCCAGTGCCTTGTGCCCATAGCTGAAATAGAGACATGCAGCATGCTCTGCTTCTGCAAAGAACCGCCTGCCTAAAACCCAGTTGCTGGTTTGGCAAGGTGGGTGGGAGCAGGCAGAAAAGGTCTGTGCAGAGGGCCAGATGCCAACAGCAGGGGAGGAGGAATCCCAGCCTCCTTCCTCAGTCGCAGACAGGCACAATTAGGGCTCTTTTGGGGAAACTGGGAGTTGCTGCTGCTGGCATCTCCTCGGGAGCAGAGGTGCAGTGGTGCCAATGCTGCCTGCCACGAGCCAGCCAGCGCAGCAGATGGAGGTTAATGAGCAAGCTGGAGGGTGAGGATGAGTGTAGGGGCTCTGGAGATGCTGACAAGCATGTCTGGTCCTGGCTGCTGGCTGATGCAGATGATCCAGCCAGGAGGCAAAGGGGCGGACTGCACCCTGCAGTGCCCCCCTTTGCCTCCTGTCCGCCCTGGCTCTGCCTTTCCCTCTCGTGTTGGCATCCACAAGGTCCCTCACCAGCTGCCCGGAGCTTGTCAGAAGCTTCTGTGTCAAGAGACCTCTGCCCTTCAATTTGTCAAAATTGGCTTGTTAGTATCAAATTAGGGAATACATAGGTGTGTGAGCAGGGAGTGCTTCAGCCTTGTTGCTGAAGGAAATTAGGCTACAAAAATCATCAGAGGGTGGATGAAAAGGATCCCTCCAAGGCATCCATGGGGTTCTCACTGGGAATTAAACACCTGAACTAGACACCACTGCTGAGTAGCAGATGGAGGAGTCCTACCACATCCCTTGCTGTGTTCCTGCTTGACCTGGGTGCCGGGGAGGATGAAGAGGGTCTCTTCCAGGTGCCTTTTTGGTCCCACACTGAACTCGAGCTAGGAGCTAGGCAGCTTTCCATGTATGCTAGCCCTCAGCTCCCTCTGCAGAGCACTGGGCTCCTGTGGCTCCTTCCCATCTCCCCTTGCTGAAAGGGCTCCACATTAGCCCCCAGCTTGCTCTGCGGCAGCTTGCAGGAAGAGGGGAAATAAGGTGTTTGCAGAGGCTGAAGCTGCTTACCATGTGAGCAGGCTGAGCTGCTGCAAACACCCATTGCACCTCAAGACCTGGGGACTGGACACCCTGTGCTGTTTTTCTGACTGACCCTCACTGCCTTGTTTGTTATTTTAGGTTTGCCTAGGTAGCTGTGCCTTTCGTGTTTGTTATTGCAGAGGTAATGAGCTGTGTCCCTCTTATGTGATTGCAGGGTTGCCTGCCCCGGTGTGAATCCTGCCCTTAATTATAGTCAGGAGATGCCCTGGCTCTGCCTTCTGTGGCTCTGGCAATGTGTGCCAGAGGGGATTCCCGGGACAGATCACAGCATGCTTCGTTGCCGTGGAAGGGCTTAGTCACTGCGGCTGTCTCCGGTCTCTTTTCAGACCTTGGATGCCGTAACTTCTTTTAAGCAAAGCATTCACTTCTGCTGCACCTTGTACAGTGACATTTCCTGGAAAACAAGATCATTCCCAGTTACAACAATCCGTTCCCTATCCCTTGTCTGTCATCCCCTTATAATAGAGGAGCCCTGAGCTGTAGGGCCTTTGAGTCCTGCAGCAAGAGAGAAACCCCAGGCATATGCACATCGTGGGGCAAAATGGCAAGAGGACCCTGTCCTGGAGAGATGTGTGAGTCCTGGGGATGGTGCATGGGGCCATTTAAGTGGTGTGGGCAGTTAGGAGGGTGCCGAGTCTGAGATGCTGATCCAGCCCTGTTCTTGTGGAAAGAGAAGACAAAAGTGATGCTTTAACAAATAAGCGGCCGTTGAAAACTTTCGGGTTCTGCTGGGAGAAGGCAGGTTCACCTTGGCAAGGACGAAGAAGAGACGGGAAGCCGTGGCAGGCTTGGGGACCCAGTGACCAGCCTGTCCCCTGGGCCCCCTCCAAGACCCCGTTGCGATGTGTGTAACGGGCCAGTGCTGCCATCTGCCGCTGAGCAGCGCGCCTGTCTGTCCCCCATCACCGGGCATCCCCAGCGCAGCCCGGGGAGGCAGAGGCATCTGCCTTCCCTTTGGGCGGCATCTGGGCTCCGGGGAGCAGCTGGTCTGCAGGGAGACTCCTGATTGCCTTGTTGGGGTGGGAGGTTATCTGTCTTTATTCTCATCCTGAGCCTTTTTCTTTTGTCCCAACAGTGATGTTGGTAGGAGGGGCAAAATTGGTTCCCTGCTGACTTCACCGCAAGGTTGCAGGAGGGAATGAGCCAGGTTCACTGGCATTGGGTCGTGGTAGACACCTTGCAGGGAGGGATTTCAGTGACTCTGTGCTTTTCCTTCTGCTGCTGTGGGTTTCCCTGTGCTCACCTGCCAGACCTAGCACAAGCCTAGTGTTAGTGCAGGGTTCCTGGGAACCAGGGGCTGGGAGAGCAGGAGCCTCAAGAGCCTTAAACTCTATTCCAATTTAGTCCAGAAATAACCCTTTTTCACTCTGGTGGCTATACTAAATGTCACAAGTCATCTAAGTTTAGACTGTCACCAGCTTGCTTCTATATATAACCACACAGTGCCCCTGCCTGCATCACGTCGACACAGGTCACACTGGGGTGATCCGAGGGATCTATAGGAAGGCAACTGCCATGCACAGAGCCTAAACGTGCTGTCAGTACCATTGGTGGCAGCTGCAGTCAGGCAGCTTTGCTGTCACCCCAGGCTTTGCTGGCTGCTTAGTGCATGCCAGCAGACAGGGGCTGGTTCAGTCCTGTCAGCATGGGGCTGCAAGTGGAATTCCCAGGAGATCCCAGCACTTGTCAGCCAAACTTCGGCATCGCTGCTGAAGGTCTGCCCAGCTGAACAGTATCTTTGCTGTGTGATTGACCTTGACTTTGGAGTTGTTGCATCTTCGAGCATCCCTGGCTTTTGCTCTTCCATCTCAAGGCAGGGTGGAGTGTGAATTTGTCACTTAATCCTCTCACCATGGCTAGAGGGGGGCTTCTCTGCCACATTTTGTGTCTCATCTGGTCCTTACTGGGTGTGAGAGAAACCTTCCACCAGTCTTTTTATGCTGACACACTGCAGACGATGGTGGTCTTATATATAGGAGCCTATCCTAGACTCCCAACTCTTCTATGCCCTCAGATACCTTCCTATCATGAGCTTGGGGATCACACAAAAGCCATGCCAAGTCCCACACAGTGGGATAAAGCCAGGGCTGTAGGCAGCAGTTGGGAAAGGGATTTATTTGGTCTCTTGTTCCTATCCTGCCTGGTGCAAAGATGTCCTCTGGGGTTCGGCAGGAGGCTCTCTATGCCAAGGCAAGCCCCAGTCAGATGACGGAGACCTGACAGTTTGGTACCCCTTCTCTTCCAGAACGGGAGTCCCGAGAGCATGAGGAGCCGACCACGTCAGAGATGACGGAGGAGACTTACCCACCCAAGGCCTACCGGCCCAAGCATGGGCGCCTCTCCGAGCTCAAGGCTGAGGCCCTAAAGAAGGACCGCCGTAAGAAGCTGACCCTGGCTAAGTTTGTAGGCATGGCAGAGAACACGGCGCATCCTCGCGTCGTCATCCCTGAGCTCCGGCAGGAGTTTGAGCTGGTGGGTGCCTTCACCTTCCCCCCCATGGGGCTCCTGTGGGCAGGGGGCTGTGGGAAGGCTTTGTCCCCTGGGGAGCAGGTGCCAGTGTGGGGACAGGGGACCTGGGGGCATTTGCAGCTGGAGGCTTGTTGTGAGGTTCTCCCCTTCTCACACTCCATCTTCTCCCTGCTGGCAGGGTCCTTGCCGCAGGCACATGGAGGCATCCCTGCAGGAGCTGAAGAGCAGCCAGCGGATGGTCCCCCGTGCCGTCCACCTCCCTAACTGTGACCGAAAGGGCTTCTATAAGAGGAAGCAGGTAAGAGCCCCATGGAGAGACGCTCCCCACTCAGGGAGGCTTTTTTCTGCTGCTGCCCTGAGTGGAAAGTATGGAGGTTTTCCTCTGCTGGGCTGGTGGGGAGACATGTTTAGTGGTGGGTGTCCTTGCTGATGGCTTCATGTGCCATTTGGCCTGAAGTGAGCATCCTGAAGGAACTTCTTAGGGAGGAGGAAAAGTCAGAATTAGCAACGGGGATGGAGATGTGCTGAAAGCAGAGAGCAGGAGCTAGGTCCTACCCAGGGGATTGCATTGCTGAGGTGAAAGGGGCAAACTGCAGGGGTGATCCTGGTCTTGAGTGCAAGGGAGCCACAGTGTCTGGTGGCCAGCTCCTAATCTCTGCCTTTGGTTGTCTCTGCAGTGCAAGCCCTCCCGTGGCCGGAAGCGTGGGTTGTGTTGGTGTGTGGACAAATACGGCATGAAGCTGCCAGGGACTGACTACCTGAGCGGAGACCTGCAGTGCCACGCGTTCGACAGCAGCAACGTGGAGTGAAGTCGCATCCCCTCCCTCCACCCCATCACTACCTACCCAGGCTCCCTTCCACCCTCCCCTCCGCACCTCCCCGCGCCCCGGGACTCCGATTCCTTTCATCTCATGTAAGAAGAAAAAAAGACAGGAAAAGAAAAAAGAGAAAGGAAGGAAAAGGAAAAAAAAAAAAAAGAGGAAGAGAAGGAAAGAAGTAAACAAAGGAAAAGCAAAAAGAAAAGAAAAAAGGAAGAAAGAAAAGAAAGGAAAAAAGAGAAAAGAAAGGAAGAGAAAAGGCAAAGAAAGGAGAAAAGAGAAAAAAGAAAAGAAAAAATAAGAGAAGAGAAAAGAAAGGAAGAGAAAACTAGAAAAGAAAAGAGAAAAGGAGAAAAACAAACCCTGACAAAACTGAGGACTCGGAATCTGCAGCAGCCTCTTGACGACAAGGACTCAGCAAGGAAAGGACAGAGCCAGAGACAAACCAGTTGCGGCCACTCCACTCCATCCTGCACTGACCCGTGCCTCTCCCAGTGCTGCTTGCACCTCCCTGCTGCTTGAGCAGAGGCTTCCACTTGTACGAAGCTCTCTGAGTTGGTGATTTTCCAGTATGGCTTTCAAGCAGGTTGATTTTATGGGGGGGGGGGGGGGGGAGGAGGAGGAGATATTTTTTGTCTAAAGGGTCTCAAGAGAAAACCTGGTGGCCGCCAGCATCCTCTCTCCTTGCTGCAGTCCTCCAGAGTCTCCTCCCCACATCACTGGGATTCACTTGACTCTGTTTGGTTTCCATCTCAAATGACTGCCCCAGATCAAGGCAGATTTCAATGCATCGGGAGGAGGCATGGGACTGCTGGGGTTTTGTCTGGAGATGAGTCGGGGAGGGAAACACAGCTCCTGCAATGGCACGAATACCCCTGCAAGAATATTGGTGAGCTTTGAAATCATCCGAAAAGGAAAGATACCCTTCTCCATCCAGTTCCTCTCGGATGGGAGGTCAGAAATCTTTTTGGATAAGCAGTACTCTGACTATTGTCCATCCAGGTGTGGAAGCACTTGTTTCCTGCGTGCATGTGTGCAAGCATGTGTGCGCACAGACATGGCTTTTCCTCCTTGCAAAACTTTGCCTTGAAACCTGCAAGTTGGAGGGCTTCACTCTTAAGCAGGCGGAAAGATGCTGCCCCTCCCAAAGAATAATAACCTGCTGGACTAAGCATGGGAGCAGAGTTACAGAGGAGCATCAGTGCCTGTGGGATCAGGGTCACACCAATGCCAAGGGCTGCATCCAAGCTGACCCCGCAGATACTCCATCACTGTCCAGGCTGAAGCATCTGTACATGAGGACAGGGGAATTGGGGCCAAAACTCTTCACTACCCTTCGCTGGCATGAGGAAGACCAAGTATGGAGATTTCTTTTTTATTTTTTTTTTTCCACAGCCAAAAAAGTGGTTTGCTCCAGGGAAGGGGAAAACCAAACCTACATTTTCTTTTGCATTGGATTTTTGTTAAGGCTGGTTTATAGCCTTCCCCATGGGTAGGAAAATGCTGGTCTCCATCCTTTCACTCATGTTGCCACAGCTGACTCCCACCACCCTGCAGTAAGATACTGCAACAGGCCCTTGCCTTAAACATGGGGACCCCAGTCCTTGTTGAGTGACAGCAGCCACCGCACTATGGAGACCCACTGCCTCAGGCATGCTGGCGCAGGCCTCAGCTGCCTTCCTGACTTTGTTTTTCATTTTTACGTTCAATTTCAGGACTCTTGCCTTTTGCTTCCCCATGACAAAGGTCTCTGCGATGTTGCTGCTGGGAAGCTGTTGCAGCAAAGGAAGGAAAGGAAAGCAAACCATGGCGTCTGGCTGCTGCAGTCCCAGTGGGCAAATACACACCCACTGTGGACCACATCCCAATGCCATGGCTGGAGCTGGCAGCTGGCACTGGCTAAAGGACACAGCTGATCTCAGGGGGAAGGTTTCTGCACCCCAAAGCCCCTTTGAGCATCCCAGGCTTGGGCATAGAGGACAAGGAGTCCACAGCACCACTGCGTCCCTGCCAGCAGGGATGGGACAAGGGGGATTTAGTGACAAGGGGGTCTGGTGGAGGCTCCTCTCCGTCACCAGTGAGGTGCCCTCATAACCTCCCATGGCATGGCATCATTCTCTGGAGCACCTTGCAGGCACCCCACCAAGACACTTGCCCCAGTCAAGGGAAGGACTGGATGTCCCACAGTTACTTCATTTGGAGTTGCAGCGGGGGCAAGTTTGCCAGTGGACTTCAGTGGAGACCCAGTGAGGCATGTTTGGAGCTGGGGGTGAGGCATCTTCCCTTGCTGAAAAGAAGGGAGGGTTCCACCCAATGAAGATCTGCTGCCCTCAAAAGAAACTGCCAGAGCAGGATGATCCTGTGTTGCTGGAGGGGGAGAATGGCAGGTGCTGGGGCCAAGGGAGGAACCCCTCTGGGCTCTGCAGGGCTGATGAAGCAGGGTTGGTTTGACCAGGGTGGTGGGTTAATGGTGCAGTGAAGATGGGGTGAAGAATTTAGTGATGACAGCAGATGATGAGGAGCTCATGCTAACCCCAAGGGCCACAGGTTGCCATCGTCGATGCTGTTCCCATCTCTTCTCACTGATTCCTCTGCAAAACCTCCTGTTATAGGCCAGTACCACCTTCCCCAGGACCCTTCCCTCCTTCTCTCTCTCTCTTGCTTTTTTGTTTGTTTGTTTCATTGTTTAATTTCCCAAAACTTGAAAGCCTTTGGCTGCAGAGAAAGGAGATGTGCTGCCGGGGCGGGATGGGAGCTTCTGGAAGGTGGGGCTCAGCTCACGTGGCCTGGTGTGGTCTCAGGATGTGGCCACCACAGCGACACTGGGAGGGGCATTCAGGGTGCCTCCCTGACCCCTCCCTACAAAGCAAGTCTCAGCCATGGCCTGGCAGATCAAAATCCATCCCAGCCTCCCTCCCCGCTGCACATCCATTGCTGGGACAGCACTGCCTGTCCTGTCCCCACCAACCTGGGGGAGGAGGATGCAGGAGGGGGCTGCCCAAACCACCTTTGGCCCCCCAAATGACCTTGGCTCCTGGGACAGGGCACCAGGTGAGCCCCCAGCTGCCCAGTCTGTAGGTGAACCCTGGCCGGATGAGGCTGTTTGCAGGCTGCACTAATATTTAGGACCAGGGTTGGAGCCTGGGTCAGGGTGGAGGCAAGAACAACTTCAGGAGGGATGGCAGTGACAACGTGCTGCCGTTCTCAGCACCCAGCAGCCCCCCCTTTGCATTTAGGGTGAGAAAAGCAAAAGGGGGAGATTTGGGAGCTGGGGAGGATGGGTAGGAGGGGGTGAGGCACGTGAGGAGATGCTGGCGATTGGTGCATAAGGGAGAGGTGTGAGGCTCAGGGGGCTCCAGCCACAGTCTTTTCACTGAGCCTGCACTGGTACTCGGTATGCGAGCTGAGGAAAGAACAAGGATGGCACAGGGGTCAGGAAAGCCCTTCTCCCACATCTCCCTGGGGAGCGGCGCTCAGCAGCTGGGCTACCCCTTGTCTGTACTGCAGTGGACCTCAAAAACCACTAGTACAAGAGCATTTTGCACTATTTCTCTGCTCTCCCCCCTTCTCTTTTTCTCCACCTTCCCCATGAAAACTCTTTTGCTGTTGGGTGTTTTTTGGTGGTGGTTTGTTTTTTGTTTTTTTTTTGGTTGTTACTGATTTTAGTTTTTTTTCCCAAATGGAGCATTGTATATTTAATGATCGACAGTTCACTTTGCTTCCAGACCGCTGTCCTGGCCATGGCTAGGATCCCTGCCTACTGTGCCCCCCTCTCCAGCCCCGCCAGCCCCACACCACTGCCAATGGGGACAGGCATCACCACGCACGTTACCCACCGTTGTAACACAGTTGTTAAAACACACCAGATTCCGAGTTTCCTGCCTGGTTTTTATCTTTAGCAATACTCACTACACATTTTACGGTAGCTTTTTATAGCTTTACATACATACGGTAGCTCTGTTGTTTTGTTTCGTTTTGTTTTTGTTGTTTTGGGTGGTTTTTTTTTTCCAGTAAACAAGAAATACTCATAATCTTACTGGTGGGGAAAAAAAAAAAAAAAGCAGTTTGTGAAAAACTGACAATGGAAGAAGAGCTTAATGCTCTGTTTAGCATTTTGTACTTTAAAAAATCTCACATTTTATTAAAAAGTGAAGATTGCTGTATACTATTTATTCAACTTATAATTTATGTTACTCTTTGATCTTTGTCTTTTCTCATGACAAAGCATTTATTTAATAAAGTTATGCATTCAGTTAGCTTGTGCCTGACCCTCCTGGAGCATCTGTGTGCTGGAGCCTGCTAGCGAGGGGCTACGTCCCCAAGCATCCCCTGGCCCTGTGCCCCTGGGGACTCAGCCAGCTCCATGGGGGTGCCAGGGGAGGTACAGAGCCTGGGGGAATGGTTTAGGAGCGCTTTCAATACCGGAGCAGTGTGCATAGTCAGTGGTAAAACTGAAGTTTGAGTTTACAACACACTTAAGCAGAGCTGTCCAATTTTTTAGAAATAACCTTTGCATGGGTATGACAGCAGGGCACAGCACTGCACTCAGATGGCTTATGTGGGAGAGGGATGCTACTAAGCCCCTAGATGCTTGCCCAAACAGTCCTACAGTTTGGGACTGGATGTGACGTTTGAGCCTCAGACCTCTGGGCAGCTGAAGTATTTACCACAGTGTCCTGGAGCATTCCTGTGCCATCCATGGGGCAGCCCAGCCCAGCCAGGTCCTCAGAGACCTCGTGGTAGACCTTGGTGGCCCTTTGCTCTACCATGTGTCTTCCCCAGTGCTGGATCTGCCCCTCCCTGTGCCCATGTAGCCATCACCCTTCATCTTCCCATTCACCCCCTCATCTCCCTCCTCCTGTGCGCCCATCCCCTCCACCCACCCGGCTGCCAGCACCACCCCATGTGCCCGGGGCAGGGCAGGAGGCAAAATCTTCCCCGTTGGCCCTCACTGTGCCAACAAGTATCCCCCATCCTATTTGCACCACCCAGGGCTGGCACAGCCACCCACTCCCTCCTCTCCCCATAGCACAGCTGAGGCCAAACATGCTGCCCCAAGCGACAGAGGCGGGGGGGGTCCGAACCCCGGTGCACCCCCGTGCCGCGCCGCTAGGCTGGACCCGCTGCCTCAGGCACCCCACTGCGCGGGAGCCGCACGGCACGGCAGCGGCACCAGGCGGCGCTGGGCAGCGAGGCTCTGCTGTTGCTTTCAGCCACACAGGCACTGGAAATGGGCTTTCCACCCTAAAAGTTAACGCTTTTCTCCCCCGCCTTCAGCTAGCTGGCTAGTAAATTATACTCCTACCCTCAAACTACCGCTATCTATATGGATACAGATATGGCTATAGATAGCTATAGCTGTACATAGATAGTCATACAGTCTTACACTAATTCTTTATAGTAAATATTACTGTATTATACTACTGCATAATTTTTATGCTCTACTAAAACTGTAGTTTGCCAGTGTATGTAGTTTTGTGTGTGTACACCAGAGATGCTGGGGTTTCAGCTAGTACCCTATGTGCAGCTGGGTAAGCCTCAGTGCCCGACTACGTGTCTGATTACCCAGACCTCAGGAGGCACAAAGATGCCCCAGAGGAAACCCCAGAGCCAGGATCTTGGCAGTGACATACATCAAACCCATGCACACACACATGCAGCCTTTAAGGCCACATTGCAACCCTGGGGAAACCTAAACAGGAGCTCTTTGCATCTCTTGCCTTGTTGCTGCCTCTGCCCCTCTGCAAGGTGCCTGGCAAGCTGCAAGCTCCCTTTACTGGGCTGAGGGCTCCTGTTCTCCTCCAGCACTTGACCAAGAGTGTGCCCCCAGTACGTAGAACTTCTGCCCCCCCAAGCCCTCCCAAAGACAGCACCTGGCTTGGAGCACCCTTGTGCCCCACAGTGCTACTTGGCATCCCCTGAGCCACCTTCAGCTCCCCCCAGGGGCACAAAAGACAATATTAATTGCTAATTTTGCTCCTTTTCTCATGTTCTCCTGCTTACATCCCACCCCCCATCCTATGTCTGTCCTTGCAGCCCCATGCACTGGCTGCCTTCTGTCCCCATACGTGTTCCTGGGGCTCCCTGCCACTGCCCAGCCCCTCAGCACACATCAGTCCTGCCCAGCATTCTCGCATGGGATAGGAGGAAACAGATGGGGAAGCAGCCTAGTGGTTTTGCCTTCCTTTGGGGAGGCCAAAGGGAAACCACAGACACCTGGATGTTGGCTGTCAGAGCCACATGGGGCCTCTCCCTCAATGCTGCAACTTTAATTGAATGCAGCATGGGTTTTTTTCTATTATTATTATTGTTATTATCTGCCTCCCAGTGGTGCCCCAAGCACTGAGTTGTGCTGTGATGCTCCCTTTGGCAGCACTTCTCACCCGGGGAGAAGGTGCAGGCTCCTCAAGAGGCCTGTCCCCACAGCCCCGTGAGTGGAGCAGCCCAGGCCTTCCCACACCTTCCCAGCAGCCCATGCTGGGGAAAGGCTTCACACAGAAACACTAAAGCTGACTCTTCAGCCAGCTCAAATTTTGCCCTCCTTGCACAAGCAAAGGTCAGAGTCCTTGAAGGATTTCTCCATGCATCATCTAACTCAGCCAAGGAGCTATTTGCACAGGGGGCAGTGGAGACCAAAACTGTAGCAAGAGACCTAAAGGAACCTGGATGATTCATGGAGAACAGGCCCATCTGCCACCTAATAAACAGCATGAACAACTCAAGAAGACCCTGAGGTACCATGGCTGGGAAGATAGAAAAAGCAGAGCACCCTTACCCTTATAGCCTTTGCCCAGGAATTGGCAAAGGTCTCCACTGTCCCTGCGCTGGGTAGGAGGGACCCTTCCTCGCAAAGCTGCTGCACTGCTCAAGAAGCAGGAAGTTCCTGCTCTCACACAGCCTCTCTCCAGCTCAGGAAGCTCCACAGGCATCACATTGAATGAGGCATTCACACTGCCATCCTCTCCACCCAGCAAAGTGGGACACAGCCACCCTTTGCCACCAAATCTAGCTGCTGTCAGCGGGGAAGATGGTCTCCACACATATGCTGGCCAGATGTTGACTTAAGGGCACAGTTGCATTTTGCAGGCTCAGAAGATACCACATGTGGAGCAGGAACATAACAGGCCAGCCAACAAGTCACACCAGTTCCTCCCTGCTCGTACAACTGGGACCAGTGATGATGAAAGGCCCAACTCCCACTGCTGCTTGTCAGGCCCAGTGTTTACAAAACCCCCTGGACAAAAGCTGAACAGGCCCAAATTTGTGTGTGATGCATTAGGCAAGGAAACATTTCCTATGAGCAGAGGGGAGTGGGGAGGGGGAAGATGACAGTTTTCTGGCATCCCATTTAGTTTATTCCAACTTTATGCAGCTCAGCTTTTCCAAAAGAGAAAAAAAAAAAAAAACAAACAAAACCAAAAAACAACACAAAAGAAAACTTCCTGGTTCCTAAACAAAACAAAAAGTACAAATTGTAGATGAGAGCCAGCGTGTGCAAGGTTTACATGAACAAGCAGAACACCCTCGGCTGTTAACAGAAAACAGCATCATTTTTACAGTTACTTGGCTTTGCATGGCGATGTGGTTTGTTTTCCCTCTTGCTCCCTCTCATACACATTCTCATGTGCACCCCCACATCCCTGACTTTCCAAAGGGGTCCCCTTCCCCATCTCTTCCACTACCACATCCAAAGCCCTGGAAAGTTGCAAGGGGCTTAATTTGCAGACACTGCCGCACCCTTTGCACTTAGGATCTGAAATATGGGGCCAAAAGGGGGAAAAGCAACAAATCCCCTTCTCCCAGAGCCTGTGGACTTTTTGCTTTTCTTTCTCCAGACCAAAGTCCCCAGATGAGGGAGTATCAGCAGTGGGAACCCTGATGTGGTGTTTCTTTAGCACAGTTTGGTGTTCCCAAGGCATGCTGGCAGTCACCAGGGGATGGTCCCATCCCTGAAGGTCATGGTCAGGTAGATTTGCTGCCTGGCACCCACCATGCAGGCACAGGGTGTTCCCCACCAGCACCCACGCTCACCAAGGAATCCCCTTCCTCCACCCTAACTGAACCTAACCCTATGATGGACCTGGGACATGGAGTCTATTTGCTACTCAGAAGCATTTGCCAAAAATTGGGAGATGCTTTATCCTCCACCTTGCCCCCAGCTTTGATTTCATTAGGGGAAGCCTGAGACTTCTACTGTAAGGAGACGATTTTTGTAACTGCTCTGCAAACAGTATCCATATTAAAAAGGAAGGAGTGGAAAAACAAAAGGTAGAAAACAAATCTCCTTGCTTAGGCGACAGGGAAGTTATTTATTCTCAGTGTCTGTGTGCTCTGTACAGGAAGAAATCAACAGGTGAAGTAACAGCAGAGGCATCTCTTCTCAGAACGACATGTCCAGCACAAAACCTCTCTGAGCGCTTGGATCACTTGGATTTAATCTACTCAAACGTGTATGTGGGCAGAGGGGGTGCATGTGTGTCAGGACCTTTACAAAGCACGATACATACTGTAATTTACTTACAAAAAAAAAAGATAAAGTGTGTGCTGAATAGCAGATGCTCACTCCAGTCCCAAGCAAAAATGGAGGGACAAGGGCAGCTGCTTGGGAGTGCAGGTTTTAGATGGGTTTTTCCTATCTAGAAAGAAAGAAAGAATGAATAAGAGAGAAAGAGACAGACAGAGACACTCCCTGGTTTGTTATCCTAAATCTACACAGGCATCCTTCCAGCCAGCCCCAGCAAGTTCACTTTAGCTCCCTCAGCATAAGCTGATTCTAAGAAATACTCGGCAATAGCCCTTCAGATCCCCTGGAAAACCAAGTGTTTAGCTTCACCATCACCCAAAGGCCCTGTCATCCCAAACCTGGGGCTGACTGTGCCCCAGCACCAGGAAGGAAAGCACCCAGGGATGCCTTAGGAGGCAGAGGGAGCTGTCTCATATTTAGCCCTTTCCCTCACTGATGCCTTCTTGAGGGATGCATCCTGACTGTGCCAGCATGTTCCAGCTGGGAAGACAGGGGCTTTCCTTCTTCCCTCCCTCCCACACTGCATCCCATGCCATGACCAATGGCCAGGCTGAGGCACAGGGGACCAGTAGGATGCAAGAGGCAGGCCACACAGTATTTACAGTCTTTGGTCTTGGGGAAGGGAGGGAAAGAAGGGGAAAGGTGGGCTTTTAACTTTTTTTGTTTTGCTTTGTCCCACTCCCACCTACGGCAAAGGGTTTTGTCCCCTGGGAAGTGTCAGGGAGCACACAGCATTCTGTGCTGAAGGGTGCAGGAAGATGCCGCAAAGCAGCAGGGATGGCAGGGCCGCAGGGCGAGGAGCAAAAAAGACCGATTCTCTGGCTTACATCGGGTGAAAGACTATAGGAAAGCAGTCCCTTCTCCTTGCAACCCCCCCACCGCCCTTCCCCTCCCGTTCTCTCTCCCCTCCCCAGGAGCCGGGCAGCAGGGGAAGGAGAGCAGCACGCAGGACCCAACCCCAGTCTCTTCCAGAGCCTAAAGAGACATGCTGAAACCCATGTAAAATCCAGCACTGGGGCCACAGCGAGCCGCCTCCAGCAAGCAGGATCACTTCTGTCTACTGGCTTCGCAGGGCATGTGCTCCCCGGTCCTCCTGCTCATGAGCTGTGTAGAAGAGGTGGCACTCAGGGTCCCCACGGATGGTGGGTGCGCCCTGGATCACCTTCCCATGGATGGGGTCCACGCACCAGCACTCGCCACGCTGCCCATTCACCGACATCTTGCACTGCATGGAGAAGGACAGGGCAGGCGTCAGAGGAGGAAATTGGAGGATAAAACAATGACACACACACCACCACCACCCCCCCCCCAGCCCAAAGCCTTAGCACAGGCAGAGCTGGGGTTTCTCCAGCCATTTGGCACTACTTTGGATTTAGGCAAGAGTCATGGATGCTGCACTCGAGACACCCCAAGGTCTGTGCTGCACCAGCAGTCCAGGCTGAGGGCTGGACCTCTGCCCCCAGGGTGCCAGGGACCAAGAAGTCAATTTTCATGAACCGCAAGGACAACTATCCTCAAGATGCACCACGCTCTGTCAACTGAAGATAAAATCATCCATAGAGTCAAACATTCCTGAGGGAAGAGGGATGAGACAGACTGGCACATGAGCTGTGTAAGCTGCTTCTTACCTGCAAATTGGGCTAAACAAACGAACATGAGAGCAAGGCCCCCAAAACCAGATGCAAATAAGTTTCCAAACAGGGTTTCATGCTGTCACAGACCAGAGGTGGGGACCGTGGTGCACCTGGACCTTGATTCTGCCCTACACACAGCCTGGTTAGAGAGAAGTTTCTTGCCCTAATGGCAACCTAATATCCACCTCTTGCCCTGTAAGGGCTGCAGGCACTTTGAACCTGATGCTCATCTCTGCATCCCCAGCAGATACATTTCTGAATAGGGTGTAGTGGAAGACACAGAGGTTACTCCAGCAGACTGGCCTCCATGTGCACTCTGTGAAGCTGAATTCAAGCCCTTTTCTGCAGCTGGACTGAAGTCAAAAATGCAATTTTGTTCATGGGAATAAAAATCACAAAAAGAAAGGAGGAAAAAGCCTCCCCAGCAGGAAAGTGCATCCAGGCACCCTCCACCCAAGTACTGGCCCACAGGAGGTGGGAGCAACTGGGAATGCTTTTGTTGGCATCCACTTTCCAGCAAATGAAAAGGAGCTGATGCTGAGCACTGGAAACACAGATGGAGGGAAATGGGTATCATTTTATATTTGCCCTGTTTGCCCTTAACGAGGGGGGAAGAAGAGAAAGCAAATTTTGTCCCCTCTCTTTCTCTGCAGCAGTGACCAGTGTGTCAGCACAGGCTGACTTGCTTCCCAGGCACAAGGAGCAGCAAAGACTTTTCTTTTGTAGCACTCAGTGCTTTGCTGTATTGCCCAGGCTCATTCCCCAGACATGGCTCATCTCCTTAACAAGGAATTTGCCAGCTTTTCTCCATCTACTCCGTTCAAGTGTGCTCATGCTGGGGTATCCAGCCAGCCCATGGGGCTCTTCAGGGGGAGGTAGAGTGTAAGGGGCCAGGCAGGACAAGGAAGAGAGAGGGGACAAAGGGAGATAATCTCAGAACAACCTACTTTTTTAATGCCCTTTTTTTTTAATGCTCCTGATCAAGTGGTAAAAGTAGCCCTAAGAAAAAGGCTTAGCCATGAATCAGGTTTCCTGGGGTCCCCTCCAAAGGCTCAGTTACACATAGCTATAAAGGGTGCTCTTATCCATGGACTATTCACATGTGGCTGCTAGTCAACCCTGGACAAGCTGCTGTTTAGCTGCCCAAGAGATTTTTCCTGGCATTTTTTCCCCCCATGCCTCAGCTGCTGACACCTGCTGATTTTACATTAGTAAAGCCAAGAAGTCAGAATTCAGACACACATTAAGTCATTTGAGTCCTGTTGGGTCCCATAAATACTTTCAGAAGCATGCTGCACCCTAACCCATATCTCACCTGGAAGGAATCCCTCCTGGAGCTGTGGGACCAGCCTTGATTTGTGGAGGAAAACCAGTAAAGTGCACTAGAAACCTTCCTGACCTCAGGAGAAAGTGCCTTCTGCTTTGTCTGTAAGACTGGCCAGCATCAGCCCCTCCATGCTTTTATTCTGTAGCAGGGCCCAGCCAGGCCAAGAGCTGTTTCAAAACACATGAAAATAGACCTGGACATATAAGCAGCTCCTGTGGGAAAGAAGGGGCTCTGAACTAGACAGATTCTCCATCTCTGGTCTGTTTGCAGCCACATGTAGATGTGGGTCTCACACCTTCACATGCTAGCCCATGGCTGCACGTGCACCTGGGTATTACTAAACCTGTCCATGCTGAATGTGATATTTGTACAACATCAGCCCAGGCCCAAGCACATGCTCTGTGGCTGCACATGGTGGACATGCATGATGAGCTGAGGGCTGCTGCCAGGAGTGCAGCCAGCCCTGGGACGCCAGCTCTTTCCAGTTACCTGTTTGAGATTGTACAAGCCATGCTTGTCACAGTTGGGGATGTGGAGAGAGTAGAGGTGCTCCAGGGGACCTCGCTCATCCGGCAGCCGCATAGTGGAGATGCGCTCAAGGACCTGATCCAGCTCCTGCTGACAACGGGTCTGGAAAGAGCCCAGACAGAACAAGACAAAAATCAAGGCAATGGGACTGCTCAATGTCAACAGTTTGGACAACAGAAACACCAGTAGGGACGAACACCTATGTGCACCTGCTCATGACAGAGGTTTGCAACTGGGTCATGCTGCAGACTTCACCTGCAGCCACCCAAAATCAGTGTTGCATGTCCACACATGCCAGTATGTGGAGATCCACACAGGAAGACATGCTCATCTCTCCCACCTGCCTCAAGTGGCCAAGAGCCAGCATGACACCAGTTCACAGGCCCTGGAGGAGGAGAAGCCTCAGAGACACTCCCATGGGTCCCACTAGTGAGAAGGGATGTGAAGCAGGACTAATCCAGACAGACCAGGAGTATTTCCATGAGCATCCTGCACCTGGGATGCAGTTTTGGCTCAGAAGTGCAACTCAAAGTGGAGGGGAAGCCCTGGGAGTTAGAGCACCCAGCAAAACCAGCCTCTGGAGGCATCCCTCTTGCTCCATAGCAGCCCTAAGCCACAGCTCCCAGCCAAGGCAATCTAGTTGAATAATGCCTGATGCGAGCTGGAGTGAGTCCACACCTCTCTACTTTTGCAGTTGCTGGGGTTGGTTTGTTGGGTTTGGGTTTTGGTGGTTTTTTTTTGTTCCAAAGGAGCAGCAGTGTGGGAGCTCTCCCAGTTGACAGTGCCTACAGCTTGTTTTGAATCTCTGCTTTACCTGTTTCTTGGAGGGATTAGGGCTCTTTTAAAGCCCCTTTCTGTAGAAACACCCTGTATGTTTACACAAACACATATTACGGACCTTTTGGGGTGGCTTCCCATCCCTTCTAGTTGCCTTGACCAAGCTGCCCACTAGAGGGAAACCACGGCCAACGACTGGAGGGCAACGAGACAGGGAAGAAGGGGACAGGGAGGACTCTGGGCACTCTCCCTGCTATGTGACAGCCCCACAGACCATCCTCAGGGGCTCTGGGCCCCCTCAACGCAGACTATGGCTGCCCTACAGCAGTCAGACCACGAACACCTATTCCCAAATCCCTTTGGGCTATCCCTAGCACTCGCTTGCAGGAAAAGGGTATGAGAAAGCCAGTCCATGGGCAAAGGGCATGCTCATACCCCTGAGGAGGTATGTGTCAAGCCAGCAGGACCCCCTTTTCCCTGGCTCTGCTGTTAGGAGGTGAAGATACAATGAAAATAAAGCCTCCTTGCCAGCACATCAAAGTTCATGAGATGGTATGCTTGGCTCAGCTTTAGGGCAAAACAAACGTTTGCCTTTTCTTTTTTTCTCTCTCCCTCTCCCCCCCCTTTTTTTTTTCTTTCCCTCCCTATTTTTTTCTTTTCAAGACACTGTGTTCCAGATGCCACTGAGCCTTTGCCTTCAGCATTTCCCAGTGAGTCCACAGCAGCCTCTGTTAGCTCCCCACATCCCTTGCCCTCTCACCCTGCCCGTCGACAGCCGTGACTTCTTGGAGTCCTCGTGGTTGTGATGAGGCTTGCCGATTTTGCCCATCTGCCGCTGCTGCTCATTCACCTTCTCCCTCATAACTGCCAGCTCCTTCATGCCCGTCTTCATGGGCTTCCTCCCACCAGCTCCACCCAGGATCCCTGTAGTGCCATCCACATGGTTCTCAGCAAGGATGCTCTCAGACCGGTCATCGCCATTATCTGCGGTGAACAAGGCAGACAACGAAAGGGTCAAGCTCAGCTAGGCATTCTCTCACAAGTTCCTCCCATCCTGGATCACTTTCATGTGTGACTGGTTACCAAGCCATAAAATTTTTTGCATGCAAAAATTTTAAATTGCATTAGCCCTTTCATCTGGAAGGTGAGAATAGATCCTTTCATTCTGGAGTTATTACCACACTAAAAGACAGTTTAGGGAGCAGGGGAAATCGCTGCTGGAGAAGTTCTTTCTAGTTTTTCTTTGACCTTGCAAATTACTTCCCAGAGAATGTAATTTTCCCATCACAAATCCAGTTGGGCTGAGCATGCCAAGTGTACTTCGGCTCCAAAACTTAAAACCACAGTGATTAGTAACAATACCTTGAGTCCATCTATCATCCCCCAGAGTATCTCCAGGAATACTTACTCCATATTAATGTGCTAAAATAAATTCTTAGTCCTGCTTTCAAAAATACCTTTCCTCTGTTTTATGACCACCCCAATTTCCCTCAGAGATCCTGCAATTTCAGTGATCATCCTTGCTGTATCGTCTTTCACATTGTTTGTCATACAGCACATTACTCATTTAGCTTCTACCTACTTCTGCATTTGGCCACTTCTGCTGACTATGGAACTGCTCCACATGGCCTGGGCCCAACTCTGCCACCACTGCAAGCTGCAAGAACCCCAGCTAATTCAGCCATTTCAAAGCCAGTTAACAGAAACCTGAGGATAAAACACTGGACTTTTTTTAACCTCCCCTACTCTCTGCTTTGTGCCTTTTCCAGGTTCACTGGCTGCTGTTTCTGAGAGTGATCCCTGCCAAAGTAGGCCACAGTGGTCAGGATGCTGCAGACGTCGGTCCCTCTGGCCTTTGCAGTGGCATTGAGGACAGATCTCAATTCCTCCGACTTGCTCCAGGGAGCCCAGAAGGTGACAGCTAACCCCTCCTTAGTCCCCAGTCTTATGTGGCTGAGCAAGCACATCTAACACTGCAGCTGGATCTAACATTAAGCTGGCTCTGATGTAAGCAGGGGCTTGGACCAAGACCTCTAGTGGTCCTTTCCAGGCCAAATTAGGATTCAACCCCTGCACAACACCTTTCACCACAATAACCCAGGCTTAGTACATCTTTGCATATATCTCTGTATATAGGAGCTCCACAGGGCCCACATCAGTGACAGACCAGGCCATTCTGGTCCTACAGTGGTGACAAACATGAAGTGTCTTTTAGCGTATACCAAGAAGGAACTCTAATGCTTAGCCTCTCAACATCAGCATTCTCTCCAGCACCTCCAGTTTCAGCTTTCCAGCACTCCAGAAATCAGGCACTTAATATAGAAATAAAGAGATCACGTCAAACTGTGCACAACGGAGGGCAAGCAATATTTTTGCTCGTATCACAATGCCTAATTTACTTCTCTCACCTGCTTCTTGGAAGCCCAAGCACACAGAACATTTATAGGTTTTTAACATTTCCTTTTTTCAGAAGCTGCGTTGTGAAGTTTTGTCAGGGCATAGCTCTACTGTCATGACAAAAAGTGAAAAACCGTTAATAACAAGTGTTTGATTTCTGCCACAGCTTTCCAAGCTCTTTTCAGATGTTGCAACCCCAGGCTTACACAGGAGGAACTGCAAGAAGAGTTTTGTCTGCACTCACTGAGCAGATGTGCAGCTGCCTGCAAACCGATGGCTAGAGAACAGCTGGATCGAAGAGCCACCCCAGCCCAGCATGCCATCCACAAGAGATCAGCAGCAGCTGCTAAGGGACACCCGTCAGAAGGACCAGTGTGCTGCGGACCAGTAGGAAAAGCACCTTCATGGCTGGAGACTTCATCTGACCCACAGGACTTAAAAGCTACCAACAAACTCATCCCTCAATGGATGTGTCCAATACCCTTTTGAACTTCCTCACCATACTGGCCTCAGATCTCCTAATACCCGGATAGTCCCACTTCCCAGAAATACTAAATGTGTTTGGTCTGCAGGTTTATAGCTGCTTAGGTAGCAACTGAAAAAGCAAACACAGGGTAAAACCAATCTGGCAAAGTCCACGAATTTCCTCAATACTGGTTCCAGATGAGAACTGGGACCAGGTCTGATAGCCAAGATGGGCGAGCTCAAAGTCTGGGCTTCCACCTGGCAATTGCTGTCTGGCCGTCATCCTAGGAGCCGGACAAGGAATATTTTGAGCAGGAATCTTCTGTTTATACACCAGTCTCCCTGTTAATTAGAAACACATAGTGAGAAGAGTGAAGGCCATGACGCCGCCCTTCAGACAGGATCAAATGAAAAAGCACCATGCAAAAGACGGGCAAGGCTCGCCAGGCTCTGATTCTCAGTGAACTGCTTAGAAGGGTTTTAGCCTGACATCTTTTGTGCTTCTCTCCTCAGTGTCCCACCAAGCTGTCAACAACAGCAGACCAACAAGCGCAGCAGCAGGGCAGCATCTCAGACACATTGCAGTCCCCTTCTTCATTCAGAAAACCAATGGTACAACCAGACAGAAAAGCAGCAAACTGGAAGTGGTGCCTTCTCCCATCGATTCTCTCTCCTTCCTGCCTCCAACTAAAATATATAGACATCTGCCCAAATAAGCACTGAGCTAGTAAATGAAGGCACGCTGGTAAGCCTCTTTTTGGCTGATTCATTCACAAAACCTGCTTCTGATAATATTTTCACTCATTTTTCCCACTTTCCAATGCTAACAAATATCAGCCCAAAGAAAACCACTGATGGGAGCAGAGTGTGCATGAACACACCCAGGGATCAGAAAGATTGGTCTTGGCTCCCCAGGCACCATAATAGGAGCAAGCCTGGAGCAGAGGCCGGGAACATCTAGCTGCTATGGACCGAAAGCTCTCTTCTCCAAGGCCAAGCCAACTGTGATGCACCATACCTTCATCCTGTTGCCAGTCTGGACTGATCCACCTGGGGCTAGTGCCAGAGCCCCATCACAGCTCTTCCCTCTCCCAGATCCAGCACTGCTCTTAGGAGCTCTCTTGACCTGGGGCTTACAGGGATGACTCAATCACTGGGAAAGGGAGATGGGACAGGAGGGGCTGGCCTCACGTGCAAAGCACTGGCATCTCCTCCACAGACAAGCTGCACTCACAGGAGGAGGCTGAGCATCAGGTATGATGAACCACATTTCAAAGAGCAACTGGGCTGGGTAGCGATGACAAGAGCAGAGACATCAAGGCTCAAGGTCAGGAGAACAGAGCATGCCACGAGCCAAACAACACCTTTTTCAGCCAGATAATTCTTGTTAACACTGCCCAAAAGCAGAGCTGTGCATACTTGCTTATGACTGTCCATGAACCAACTAAGCCACCCACCAAACCCTACTGGCATGGGATGGGCAGGTATACAATTGCCTCAGATACACAACACTAATCTTTTTGTCATCCTGGCAAACGCCCTTTCGCTGACCAATTTCAATTCACACTAAAATATATTTGTGAATGGACTGGTACCAAACTCCAAAACAATTATGTTTTATAGTTCTTCCATTTTACTATGGCATGTGGAAAACATCTCCTGTGCTATTTTGGATCAAAAGGTAGAGAGATTTGTGAAGGGTGGGACAAGTGTGGCAGGAATCAAAGCAGATAGCTGAAGTTCTCCTGAATGCTGATGTGAAGCCCATGAAACAGCTCTCTTCATGCCAAGAAAATGATTTCTTTATGGGCTTCTTCAAGGAAAATTCCCATTGGTTTTAACGGGGCAAGGACTTGGCTAAGGTGAAAATGTATTCAAATGGCCATCAACTGATGTCTGTAGGGAGCTGCACAGTCTCACCAACATTTTCAACAGCGGCTACCAATTTCCAGTGCTGAAATCTGGGGAATTTGCTTTGAGACCTCTAGGAACCTCTGCTGAGACAGCAAGAAACAGAGGGGCTTAAAAACAACCTGCCACTTCTAGAGCTACATGAAGAAAAAAGCACCACACAAAAAAAGGCAGCTGCCTGAAGTTAAAAATACATCTTTATCCCTTTGAAGAGCCCCAAAGCGTATCTGGGCTGTAGGTTGGGATTGAGTCAGTAGCACTCACTTAGCACAAGAGGGCCAGCCTATATCACAGGGAGCACACACTATGCCAAGGACCTCAGCCACCCTCTCCTGCACTGCTCTCTCTCTCTGCACTTGCTTTCCTTCAATAACAACTTGCCCAGAGGGTTTCAGAGGGTTTCACATGCATTTGCTTAGCTACCGGGGTGTTAGGGTAGCATTTCAGTGCTGACTACTGTCCCAGACCCACAGAAAGTTTCACTTAAGCAGCCTTGAACACACTGCCCAAAGCCCTGCTAGCCGCAGATCCTGGCTGTGCCCTGGCTGGATGAAGGCTTATATCTCTTTCCCACAGCCATCACACCCTCCACTGGCCAGCACTTTCCCTGTGAAGACATCAAAATGCTTTGCGGTTCATTAATTACCCTGGAGAGGTGTTCATCTGGGTTGCACATGGTAAAAAACAAAGGCATGGAAAAATTCCCAAAGCCACGCAGGGAACTGATGAATGAACCCAGAAGCCTGCCCTGACACTGCACCATGCACAGGAGTAAACACACTTGGAGCTGCAAATACAGCATCAAAAGAGTGATTCTTCACCCTGAGCAGTGTTGTTTGTCTCATCTAGTTTCGTTTGTGTTTTTATTCCCTCCAACACTTCTAGCTTCTTGCAGCCATAAGTTCTACCATTTCAGGATAATTTAAGAGCCCATTCTGGGTTTTGCTTGCCACTTTTCATTTTAAGGAGCAGAACTGCCCATCTTGGGCTGCCAGGAACCCAGCACTTGTTCTTCACACCCTGAGAGCAAAGACAAGGCCTTTAAACCTGACCTTTAACATGCACAACAGCCATGGCCAGAGAAGTACTTGCAGGAAGGTTGGGAAGGAGCACACAAACTCTAACTGCAGCCCTGGTGACCTCTGCCTCATCAGATTGCAAAGCATTTCTAGGACAGCCCTGGGCAAAGGTTCCTATGCAATAGCTTTAGT